CTTTACCTTGTTGCAACTCCCACTCCTTAACCACCAGAACATCCACGCTAACGAGGCATCAGCTCGTGTTACCCTTCTCGTTCCAGAATATCTCTTCCGTCCTTCGTCCTTGCTCATCAGACTGACAAGACTGTCAGCCGACTTTTCGACTCCGGCACAAAGAGCGCAATCAATTGCAACTATAAGTACTCGCAATTAGTGTTGCCGAGGCTTATGCAATCAATGTAAACGGACCGGATTGAAAATGTATATATTTTCAGGGGCTTACGCTCGTTTGGCTTTATGAATTGCCAATGAAATGCTGCAGTTCATTTTTGGGTCTGCTAGCAATCGCAACGATAATATTATTTGGTGAAATGGAGAGCAGTAGTTAAGCATATGTGAATGTAGATGCACATTAAAATTTACAGAGAAATCATAGCCGGTCTGAATCATTTAGTGATTCTTTAATTTAATTTGTATTTATACTTTTAAAAGTATTTTTGTTAATTAACTTGACAGATTACCTTTAAGGGTCCATTTGCTATTTATTGACGAAAATATTAATAAACTGACATGTCTGTAACCATTAATCTTAGGTATCTTCTCAATTAATCAATGTTCTGTTAAATGGGAGTGAGTTATCCTCTGGGAAATTACTTGCTGTCAATTAGATTCATTGGAATAAATTTAACTTTGTTACTTTACTTTTTCTCACATAAATTGAGTACACATATATATATAGCTTGTGCTAAAAACTAACTTGAAAGTGTGACTGAAAAATTTCATGTCTGTTGTATTGACTTTTTATGTTGCTGCACCTTCAGCCCGGTTAAATCCTGTTGTCATGAGCAATTTTTGAGTACGTATCATACCTTGTTTACCTTTAGCCGCCACTTGCTGTGTGTCGTCTCAGCTCTAAAATGAACTTTGGCGCAGCAGGATTCCCCCTTCAGTCCCAGTGGATGCGGACGTGGCTGTGACTGTGACTGCCGTCAAATGTTGCGCCCTGGGGAAGCTTGTGGCGCCTGCAAGGGACCAAAATCCAGACACTGCCACTGACAGGCGCAGCAAGAACCCAGCAACTGCCAGGTATCCTGCTGTCTATCTGGCTGTCAATATCGCACAGAAATGGATCGGCGGCACTATGAAGCCATCAAGTTGGATGGCTGGAAATATATTTTAAGGGAAATATAATTTAAACCTCCTGTGATGGGTGGACAGAATGGCAAAAGGGGTTTTGCCATTGGCAGGACATGCCAAACACTGATAGTTTGCCCCTGTCAAATGAATGTGAGATGTGGATGTGATGCGCTCGGAGCAATCCAATTAGGGCAGAGCAGGATTTAAACCATTTAACGTTAGTTCTTGTTACCAACAAACTGCTTCACCGTCTCACGTGAAGATATTCAAAAATACCCACACGTATTTTTACGGCATAAAAATCGATAGAATGTAACGAGAATGGAAGAGGGTGGGTATTTAAGGTGGCGGGTGGTTTGGGTTGGCCTGGGTTTGTGCTGGGTTCACCTTGGCCAAAACCAAACCCAAAGGCGCAGCGTGATATTTTACAAGTGTTGTTTTTGTTTTTATTTCTGCTGGTTTTGGTGTAGTGGTGGTGGTGGTTGAAGAGTGGTTGCGGTGTCTGTTTTACGGCTCGCTTACATCCAAGCAGATGCCAGACTAACCCGTCATCTAATTGCCAAAAGGCGTAGAACCAACATCATACCCCCGGAATTACTGGACTCGTGCTGGCATGACTGAATCCCTAATTGAAAATAAACATTAAGGTACGCAATTAAATATGCTGCAGTCTGGCTTGTTTGCCGGGTTCGTTATCCCGCTTTGAAGTTCATTTTATACTCATTTTTATTTTATTTATCCTAGAGCCTCAGGACATAGAATATCCTGAGTGCCACGGCAACTTGGGAAACTTTCCGCTGACTTTCAGTCACCTTCCAGTGTCGAATTTCAATTGTTTGCAGCACTTTTGCTGTCTGAGAATTAATTAATCGCTTAGCCGGCTCCATTTCGCAAAATGACAAATGATGGCACATCTCTTGGGTCAAACAATTAGCTGTAAATTAAAATTGTATTAAGCTTAACTGCTGCGCAAATCGACGATGGATATAAACTCGCTCTTCTTTAAGTAAGCTCTGTAGTAGCTTTTGATAAGTTGAAATTTTTAAGAATGTCTTAACTTTAATTTATGTAGTGTCTTTTACATAATTTATGTTGCAGCCCTGAAGAAACATTAATTACATCTTGAATGTCACACACGTCTCCAGAGATTGCAAATAAGGTTGCTTTTGAATAACAAGTTTCCAGTGGCACATCTGAATAAATTTCATTTGTAATGTTACATTTATGAATTCCACTAACGTTTGAGTTTTATGAGTTTATGTATCTAACAAAATTATCATTCCCAAAGTCAACCTTTGCCAGTATAAATGAATTATTTCCATAGTACGGGATATATCATTAAGATTATGGTGATATAACGTTGTTCTTCGAAGGACAGTCTGATAAGGAGTCCAATTATCAAACATTTACTTCGTACTACTTTTAAGATATAAATAGAACTACTATATAATGTCCTTTATGTCACGTTAAATATTCCTTCTTGTTTTCAAGTTTAACCAGTTGATGATTCTTTGAGGTAACTAAAAATTTTCCATCATGAAGTATTACTCTATTGCTGTTTATTTTATTTCGGTTTTACTGTATTTTAATATAGCAGCTTTATTTTCCCAATTCTCACCGCTGTTTTGTTTGTGCCTATTTTTTGTTTGGTCTATTGTGGGCGCCTGACGAGGCTCGTTTTCTTTTTCTTGGGGTCCGCTTGCCTTGCGTGCCCCGTAGACATTTTTCTCTGTTTTGGCCGCATGGTGCGTACCAGGTAACCTTGTTTCCAACCACTTTTAGATGGGCCACAGTACGTTGGCCCGACTCGACTTGGCCATTCGGCGGACGGTTGTGCCATATAATTTGGCCCCCACACATAGTGTTGTTATATTTAAGCCGCGAAACAAACATCCGCAGCGGGCACACCCACCCGCCCAAGAATAACCACACCCACAACCTCCGGCAAACGACACGCACACACATACTCGTACATACACGGGCGAAAATGAGGCACACCTTGATTTACATTTGAGAAGACGCCTCCTGCTGTTCCTCCACCTCCTCCTGCTGCTTGGTCCTTGGACTCATATCGATCGTAGCATTAAAAGTTTCTCACTCTACTTTGTAAATAAACCGAATAAAAGAAGCTGCAAAAATAGTTTCTGCACATCAAAAATTTGAACTCGTAATTGCTTTTACGTGGCTGGATTTTGAAGGTTTTTCCGACTGCTGATTGGGGACTTGGCCAAAGCAAACATTAAATGCAAAGCGAAACTTTGTATATAGGATAGAAGAAAAAAATAATACAAAAACTAATGGGCGAGTCATGCCATTCATGAACTCAAGCCCGATAATCAATCAATAAAACAGCTCTAACCTTGACATGACTTTCAGTTCAGCTGCCTATTCTCATTTGCGTTGTTAAAAGTAAATGGAAATGCAATCAACTAACTAGCGGAATATCGTTCGCCCTCATCTCGATCCAGTGGGTCAGTTGACGGCGTTTTTCCTGTAAATTAAAAGGGAAAAATCGCCGCAAGGTAAAACTTCTGCCCTAATCACCCAGACTAGCAAGGCGGTGAATAAATTTTCAACTTTTTTCTCTCCGCCCAGAACTTTTTGCATAAGAAATGTAATGCCAGTGACAAGAAAAAAAAGAGTTGAGACAAAAGGTAAAAATGTAGCTGAAAACTTTGCCATTGAATTTCTTATGCCATCGGTTTGGTTAGCTCGGTTTTATGGTCTTAACATAATTTTGTGGCCTTTTGGGCCCAAAGTTAAGACTTGATAAATTGCAAAAAGTGCTTGTCGAGTGATAAATGACAAAGAAATTGGCAAATTGTGTGACAGTTGGGTCAAAAAATCCACACAAAAGCTCAGGTTCAGGGGTGTCAGAGATAGTACTGAGTGTTAGACTCTGCATTGCAGTCCTCGAGCCTTCACACCAGATATTAATCAGTGTCCTTTCGGCTTGCTTGAGTCCTATTGTCTGGTCCACTTGAAAAGAAATGTCTGTTTATTGTTCAGGCAATTGCTGAAATTAACAAAGAAATTGCCCGATTACTGTCCGGGGAGTTACGTTGTTTGTTGTAAAATAATTACAAGTGCTGTACAAAAATCACTCTGGTTGTTGTAAAATAATTACATTTTCTATGACTGTGTGTGTGTGTGTTTTTATGGCAGTAGTGGCATGGGGCAAGAAAGAAAACTCAGCAAATAAATCCTCGAAGCAAAGTTGCCTTACATAAGCCCCGAAATGTGCGCTATAAGAAATGGCAAACGCAAAAAACACGCAATGACAAAATGAGGGAAAAATAAAACAAAACCGACAGGTGAGAGTGGCCGAAGGAAATTGATTTTCTTCGCACAGTGCGAATAGAATTTTATTCAAATGTGCTCAACTGGGCGAGAGTAATGGGCCTGGGAAAAAGTTCGAAGGGGAAAAGCCGAGGTAAAAGCGACGGCTAGCTAGGATTGCCAGCCAATTGGCCAAATGCCCGGCGGAGGCGCAGGCGCATGCGCATATGTCCTGCGCCGTGGAAGGCGCAAGGTGGGGAGCACGGCCTTCCAGGCTGAATACCGACAAAAATCGCTGAGCTGCTGCTCTGGGCTTTTTGGCGAACCAGTTGCCAGACAGAAGTTACCTTTGCTCCTGCCCGGACGACTGAACGCACGCTGCTGCTGTTTCGCCGTAGTCGCCGTCCGTCGCCTGGAACAAAATAATAGAAAAAAATAAAAGAGCAGCTAAATTCTTTTTGTGAACTTTTTAGCCAATAAATCCAGCAGAGCGAACGGTCGTCCAGTGGTTCTATCGTCGGGTAGAGTGTCAGTGTTGTTTGTGTCGCGGTGTGAGCGTTTTTTGGCGATCGATTGGAGAGCGCGCACTTTTTACATAATCACAAGTCGAATTTGCACGCGCGCGCGTTTTTTGTGCTACTGGGATTGGTTTTGGGCGATCCCAAGGACCGAAAAAGGATCCGAAAGGAGCGAACGTGGCGTCCAACGAGGCCAACACCAGCGCCGCGGGCAGTGGCGCGGAGTCCGCCGCCCTGTTCTCGAAATTGCGTAGCTTCTCCATTGGCAGCGGGCCCAACTCGCCGCAGCGCGTCGTCTCCAATTTGCGGGGATTCCTCACCCATCGCCTAAGTAACATCACACCGAGCGACACAGGTGAGTTGCAAAAAACATAGTAGCTACCTTAGCCACCGTCATCAGCCAAGGTGCATCTACCAAGTGTTTGCATAACGTGAAAGTCTCTCGGTGAAGGCATATAATTAAAATTAAACAACATCTAAGCCCGCAAACACTAGAACACAGGGCCCCTGGCAAGTGGTTCGTCCTCGTCCTCAAAGGCCTCCCGCTCATCAGCGTTGTCCTTTGGCACACAAGTGTATTTATATATATATATATATCGTAAAAATGTATACTCATATATACATATACATGGGGGAATGGTGTGTGTTCGTGAGGTCGACACTTGCCACATTTCACAGGATAGACACATTTTATTTATGGCCCCAAAAAAGAAAACCCAACCAAACTCATAGGTTCGTAGGTTTCATTTCACTCAATGGGCCTCCTCACACGAAAGGGAAACGGAATGGAATGGAACAGTTACCGTTCGACCGCCTACCGCCCGAGCTAAAAAACTGAGCACTTCTTATGTAATTCACTGGTCACCCAGGTGCCTTTTTTCACGGAGAAAATATTTGATAAAGAACCTGAACTTATTAGAATGAGGGTTGGTTATGGTGTAAAGGCAATGTAGATTGGTTTTTTACATAAATAATATTAACAGAAAAGCAATGAAATAACTCTTACTGATTTTATTTGGTTATAACTATATTTTTTAAATTAGCTAAGATATTAACCTATTAATCTATAATCTATGATCTATTATGAAAATACTTACTTTAAATAAAAAATAAAACTGTTTCAGTTTTTAACGTTTTTATCGTAGTTTTTGTTAATTTCTAACATAAAAAACATTCCTATTATAATTATAAAACAAATTAAAAGTAAAAACATGTTTTTGAGTAATTATTCAAAGCTTTGATTGGAAAACATTTTTCTTAAAAATAATTCCAAAAAAACTTACTTATAGGAACTGTTTCAATACAAAGATAGAAAAGCACAAATATTTTTTTATTCCGATAATCAAGTTATTAAATTGGTAACTTACAATCTTTAAAACAAATTATTTTTCCAAATTACATTTTTCTTCATTTTATTTTCTTCCTATCAAATCTTTCTTGAAAATATTCTAGTCTAAGAGAATCTCTTTCTGCAATCAACAGACAAATTCCTCTGCTTGTCTATGATTTCCAGACTTCTTTGTAGCCATCAATTGACTATCAATTAGGCAAGAAACGCAAACAAATGCCTTTATTAGATTGCGTCAACTAATCAAATTTGTGCCTGTTGTCCCATTAAATCATTACGAGCCTCGTCTTGGTTGGGATGGTGTGTGGAGCTGCAGAGGTCTAGTCGTGGTCTGGGTCTTGCAGTTCATCAAAAGTAGCGACCAACCGACTATCAAGGCTAGAAAGAACATGCCACCATGCCATAACCACCTGCCGTAGCAAAGCAATTTTCTCTGGTGCTGCGGCTGCTGCATAATGAAGGCAATAAATATAAATTTCACACACAAACACAAACAAGAGGATGCCGTCGTCATTAGATTGTTTGCCTTGTAGACGCGTTTGTAACGCTGATGTGTTCATAGCGGTTTCATGTCAAAACAAAAGGGGGCGCACCACCACCACCATCGCCAAGCCAAACCAAACCACCCAGGAACTACACAAGCCCACTCCCTTTTTATTTATTCTTTTTTAGACCCATCTACCACAGCCCGAGGGGATGGAAGTGCCAGAAACAATAGCTGGCAGGAAGGTAGCTCGTAATAAGCTAAACGAGAAACAAGTAACGCATTTGTCTTGATGCTGTCTGATAAGAACGCGCCCGGACATCTCGGGGGTTGGCCAACATTGAGCCATCAGGATCGGTCCGGGGGAAAGAAAGGGAAACTGCGACAAGGGGCTGGAGAAAGTGGGCAAGTAAGCAGCAGGATCTGGGGACCAGAATCTATAACCAAGTAGCGACATCAAAAGTCGTAAATCGGTTGCTGATGGTGTTGTTGATTGCTCCGCATTTGGCAAGCTACAAATGGTTACATTTTAGTCCCAGGCTTCGATGCTGGAAATTAGCAATTTGCTAGGACAGACAGGCTATTGCAGCTATTAATCAAAACTGCAGAGGAAAAAAAATTGGGAAATAAGAAACAATATTTCATACCTAATATTTGGATTTGGCAAAAATCATCAAAAGTTCTCAAAAATCTAAAAAGAAACTTCTAATACTTGTTAAATATTAAATGACAAATCATATTTCAAGGATTTTACGTTTAAAAGTTTTCTTGGTGCCCCTTAAAACTTTCTTCATATTCTATTAAAACATACATTGATAACCCAACAAAGAAACAGTTTATTATTTTTAATTTCTTAAAATAAATTTCAGAAATCGTTTTGTATTCAAAAGTTTTCTCTAAAAATTTCTTCTAAAGAACGAAAATCATCCAAAAGAAAAACAGATTTTTATCCCGGTGTACATGAAACATGAACTACTGAATGAGAGCCGTAAAGGTAAATTACTTTCACTCTAGAAAAAAAGGCAAAGAGTGCGGAAAGTCCAAGTAATTTATGTGCAAATCAATTTGTAATCCAACGCTCATAGTTGACCAAAAGGGGATGTTCGATGGAAACTGCCCATGTGTGCGAAAACACGGACATTAGACACGCACACCCACACAAAGACCGAAGTAAGAGGAAACCATTTGGAGCTCTCACTCCTCTCTTCTCGACCCTCGAGAGCCACGCCCATTTAATGTTTTGATTTATAGGCAGCCCCCCACTAAAGGGGCTGCTCATACGCCCCGTGGTACCATCAGTGCCACCAAAATGGTGCCTCATCGCTGCTCTTTTGTGAGCTCCCTGCTCCTTTATTTTCATTTTGAGGCAGCTGGAAACTGGAGTATGGATCCTCGGGCTAAGTGGCTTCGAGGTCCACAGGGAGTTGATAAAAGCACACCAGCTAAACAACAATAAGAGCAATAAAAACAAGAGCCACCCTAGCTAAGAGGGTTGCGAACACGTTTTGGTTAAAAGGAAAAAAAAAGGATCCCTTGGTTTAAAATGACATTTTCCTTGGGCCCAAAACGTTGGCAATTAAAAAAGTGTTCCAACTAGCTAAGGTAAGCGGGCTAAAGTCTTAGACCCAAGTAAAATCGATTCGACAGCGACAAGACAATTAAACTTGAAACAGAAATGTCACTTGGCAGTCCGAAGAGGGTTAAGGTAACGCTGGCAACAGCGCCAAGTTAATCGATCAAGAGGTGGCCAAGGTGGGCCTCATTAGCTGGCCACAGTTCATTTGAGGCAATTGCTCAGATGTGAACTTAGTTCGGGAACTCGTCTCATGCCTCAACAAGCACATCGAATTACAGACTGGGTTTGCCATTGCAACTCCTGAACTGCTGACCCCTTACCAACCCTCGGACCAAGCTTCAACCCTTCGAACCACTTGAACAAAGCTGCTTACACCACTTGCGTGGAGTTTTACAAGCCCAGGTGTTTTTTTATATTTATTTCTCAGTGGGGTGGTATCTGAATTTATATTGCACTTGTCTGAGGATTTTCCACTGTCTTTTGTCAAGTGGCTGCGTGTGAAATGCGGCTTACCATAAATATTATGATATATTTTATTTTCTGTTTATTTAAGACTGCACCCCCAAAGACCCCCAGCTCAAAATCAGCAAAGAGAAAGAAAATATATATTCTAGATTATTAATTTTAATGGTATTGCTACGTCGTTGCCAGGGCAATGGAAAAGCGCCAAAGCTCACGGTTTCGTGTATTATTTTTGTTGCCATCTCATTGCAAATTCAAACAGCCCCCGACGATATTGTATTTTTTATGTCTTACCCTTCAGGAGAGCCAGAATGAAATTGTATTTTACGCTGATTACCTCGTCAGACAGACGCAGGCACACCCAGTTGTACACGCCCCCGCAGAGCTTGGGCGGCTAAAAAAAGCGAATGTAATTTCATTCCCCTTTCTCGGTGAAAAGCAAACATCCTTTGCTGTTTTTGAAAAACGACAGGAGCAGCAGGCTGCGGATGTTCCCAGGGTTACGGCGGGTGGCAAAAGTCGGCGATCATCCTGCCATTGAAGTGGGCTTTAAGGATACACCTCCTTCAATTGCTGGCCCAGAATCCCATTTCGTTCTTTGTTGTCTGACAGAAGATTAAATTTTGTTTTTTTACCTAGATGACTTGGACAGGCATCTTAAAGCCTCCTGAATATTTCAGGATAGCACAGGCAGCACCTGAAGCCCCACAGGTAGCGCATTATTAATGAGACACAAAGTAGAAACTACATTTTGCTTCCTCTGGCTGGGGCTAAGGAAAACACATGGCCCGTCATAATTTACTGCGGTGGAAGCTGCATAAAATATGAACGCTTGGCCTGCTAATTGAGCCTGAGTCGGAAGTTGGCACTCGACCCCAAAAAAGATGAAAAGGAAACCCCCAGCAGGAGCTTGAACAAAAGGTCAGGCAAAACGAAACTGAAACTCAGAGAGGGAAAACCAAAACCAGAACCCAAACCAAACCGAATTTTGTATAAATGTTTATGCATTGCCTGGGAAAACCATCAGCTGTCCACGCGCTTTGCCAGACAGAGCGGAAAAATCAATAAAATTATAAAAGCGTAAATACAAATTGCTAGCTCATTTATAAGCACATATGCACAAAGCATAACTAGATGTCTCCGGCCCTTATAGGTATTATAAAAGGTTTATTAAATAGGTAAAATCAGTCAAGTAAATATCATAAAACTTCTTTGAAAGCATGTTCAAATATTTATGTAAAAGCATGAATGTTTTTGATGTCTTGCCATTGGCAAGAAATGGTGGTTTGTTGAACTTGGTTTAAGTTTTTATAACAGCTTCAGTTTGCTGTTTGATCAACCAAGAATAAGTTTGAAAATGTAAGCTTTGGCTTAATCTACAATGTTTCACAAAGGAATACAGCAATAGGAAAGTTTAAAATGTAGAATGAGTTGTATGTACTTCATCTTGAGATCTTGATATTGAGTTTGAAGTCAAAGATCGAACAAGAAGGTAACCTTTCTAATATCCGCTATTGTTATTCCGCAGCTACTCTTATTCGGGAATACTACATAGACCTTAAAGTCTGTTTTAAAGGTCTTAAAGATTTTTTTCCAATATTTTGTTATAATATTTCCTTAAACATTCGTGATATAGATAGACAGCTAGTCTAGTGAGGACCTTGTTATAATCAACATGTAGGCACACGTTTCTGCACTTGACTTGAGCAGCTGCAGGCGGGCGACCCAGGAACAACCCCTGGTGCTGATAAAAGCCTGGTAACCACCAGCTCTATCACCACCAGCAGCAGGGTCAAGTGCGGCCACCCACCTGACCCACCGGGCCTCCTCCTGTTCTTGTTGTTAGGGGAAAGTACTCATGCATGGAGAAAACTCAAAAATTAAAGTCGCTGCATGGAAAAAATGAAAGCAAAAACCCCCACTCAGTCGCCAAACATAATTGACTCATGGGCAGCCCGGGGGCTGTTACCATACATATATATACGTGTAAATCCATATACATAAATATATGTAAGAGTACCCCGGGCGAAAGTGGGTGGGTGATCAGGACAGAGCCCAAGGTTGTCGGGTAGGTTTGGGGCAGATACACGGACGTGGTCATGAAAATTTAATGATAAAACGAAATGTTTTTGTTACGTCTCGTATACGCCAAAGCCTCATAAGGGGGCGGCTCTGAATTTGGATGGGAATGAGAGGTATGAAGGTATACCATAGTAGCAAAAAGCTGTGGAGAGGGGGTCATATTTGTACCCTGCACACGTCGCATTTTCATGTTTACTCAAATGGGGGTGGCTGGTCGTCGTGCGCTACAAGGTAGATAAATGTTGAAATTAGATCAGCATTGATAGCTAGCACAGCAGCGCAGGTTTTTTAACACCACGAAGATTTAGTAGCAATTTTTGAGAGGCAAATTATAAGGGTCAGCTTGTTAGGTTACATTAAATACCTAAGCTATCGACATACTATATCACTAAATAATCCATCAAAGCAAACTGCGTGGATGGACTTAAACACTCTTTATACATTTTGAAGTCCTTTTTGATTGCGTGCAAGTTGAGTGGAACCTTTTTGCGTAGGCAAAGGAATAATTATAATTACTGCTTCGATGAGTGGGACCGCGTGGCTCAAAGGACACTTTGCTTCGTTTCACTTGCCTTTGTTGAGGGGAAGGCCCACAATAGCCCTCAGCTCTAAGTCCACAAATCCAATTAAAATAATTGCTACATCCTTATACTCGCCCTGGACCCACAAATATTCAATGACTTAATTGTAGAGTATACACGTACCTTTCGGTATTTGTTTTATGATTGAAATGTGTGTCCCTCGAAAAGGAAAACCTAAAAAACAAGAGAGTAATCCTTAAACCTATGTAATCGAAACAATGCGAATGCCACGAACTAATCCTAATAAAATACAATTTCTGTTCACCAGCAGGCAGCCTTTTGCAACACAGAAACAACATTTCAATCATAAAATAAACCTAACTAACCAACTAAACCTAGTTAAGAGTGAGACAGACAGAAAGAGACAGACAGAAGGTGCAAAAGAGAGAGAGAGAGAGAGAGAGAGAGAAAACTAGTAAAGAAAAAATGTATAATCAAAAGCAAAAAACAATAAAAATAAAGAAAAGACTAACGAAATCTTGTTTCTGTGTCGTTAAAGGTTGTTCACTGGCATGCCAACAACTCGTACACCTTCAACTACAACAACCACACCAAAACATGTAAAACCACACAGCAACAACATCAAAAGCAGCAGCAACAAACACCACAGTTAACCACAAGCAACGATTAACCACCTCAAAACCGAGCGAGAGAAGAAATCGGAAACACAAACGGAAACGGCCATATTTGTAGCGAGCGCTAAGCAATTTCCGGCTGAAAGACATGACGGGCCCTCAGATTGGCGCCTAAAAGCTTTAACTTAAAAGAGTACAAACAAAGAGAATAGAAAGGATATCCAACACGAATCCAGGTGCAGAACTCTAATAACACCTCAGCAATCAAACAATTGCAACCAAAATGGCCTCATTCCAAATACCTGTTATCAACCTCGAGTTGCGCGAGGTCAAGGACATCGTGTGGGAGAAGATCCAGGAGCCGGTCAACCAGCGCCGTCTCATCCTTGTGATCGTATCGATAGCCCTGCTGCTGGACAACATGCTGTATATGGTGATAGTTCCCATTATACCTGACTATCTGAGAGAGATTGGCAGCTTCGACGATGGGCCAACGCCACCGCCATTGAGGGACAATATCACGGGCAAGATCATTCCCGTTCATCATGATCATCATGGTCAGGACTCGGCCACGGGCATTCTATTTGCCTCGAAGGCCATCGTCCAGCTTATGGTGAATCCCTTTTCGGGCGGCCTCATCGATAAGATCGGCTATGATTTACCCATGATGATCGGACTGACTATTATGTTCTTCTCCACGGCCGTTTTTGCCTGTGGCAGCAGCTATAGCGTCCTGTTCTTTGCCCGATCTCTTCAAGGAGCTGGTTCCGCCTTTGCGGATACCGCCGGATTGGCCATGATAGCGGATCGATTTACTGAGGAAAACGAACGATCACAGGCTTTGGGTATTGCGTTGGCCTTTATTAGTTTTGGATGTCTGGTGGCGCCACCGTTTGGCGGAGCTCTCTATCAGTTTGCTGGTAAGGAAGTGCCCTTCCTGATCCTGGCATTGGTGTGTCTGCTGGATGGCTTGATGTTGCTGCTGGTAATGAAACCGGTCAAGGAGGCAATTAAGCAAAGCAAAGAGGTGCAAGACCAAGTGATTCCCATCTGGCGGCTGTTGATGGATCCCTATATTGCCGTCTGTGCTGGAGCACTCACCATGTCCAATGTGGCGCTGGCCTTCCTGGAGCCAACTATCTCCCTGTGGATGGAGGACAACATGACTACGGACAACTGGAAGATCGGAATGGTGTGGCTTCCAGCCTTTTTCCCGCACGTGCTGGGCGTGGTCATTACAGTGAAGATGGCCAGAAAGTATCCACAGCACCAATGGCTAATGGCCGCCGGCGGGTTGGCCTTGGAGGGCTTCTCCTGCTTTATTATACCCTTCTGCAGCGGTTACAAGATGCTGATGTTGCCCATCTGCGTGATCTGCTTTGGAATTGCTTTGATTGATACAGCCCTACTGCCTACACTGGGTTATCTGGTGGACGTGCGTTACGTCTCTGTGTATGGCAGTATCTATGCCATTGCGGATATATCCTATTCGATCGCCTACGCCGTAGGACCAATTATCGCTGGAGGAGTGGTGGAGGCCATCGGCTTTACGGCTCTCAACTTTTTAATAGCTTTCTCGAATCTAGCCTATGTTCCTGTGCTACGAAAACTGCGCAACATCTATGACTTCAAGCCATTTGAGAACGAAGCCAACATCCTGATGCAGGATCCGCCCAACAAGGAGTACCAGACCTACGTGATGCACGACCAGAAACCAGTGGAAGGCGGTGTCAAAAACCACCTAGAGTACGGGCAGCAGTATCAGCAGGAACAGGAGACCAATCTAGATGACCAGCAGTACGAGTACCAACAGCAGCAGGGATACCAGCAAGCCGGTGGCTATCAGCAGGATCAGGGTTATCAGCCAGGCTACCAGGAGCAGGGCGGGAGCTATGCCCCTCAAGGACAGCCCCGCGTGGCCAATCCCTTCCAGCAGCAGCAGCAGCAACAACAGCAGCAGGCTCAGAGCAGAGGTCCTGCCGGCCCGGCGAATCCCTTTAGGCAAGGATTTTAAACTGTTGCCCATATGCCCAAAGGCAAAACACACAAAAACCCCTAGTCTTAAATCGTGTTCTTTTGTACATCTCCGTGTGCAACAATTCTTGTTCTTTGTTGAACCCACTTTAAAACTCGACACAAAACACATATACATATATTTAGCATAGACATATAGGCAAGTGGTACGTACACTATAACGAGCATAACATGCAGATAGTTAATACAGCAGCTAGTTAATGCCTTGCACCGCACCAAGTTTTGTATCATACACGAATGTTGAAGCAACTAAAGGCAGTGATGGGAAGGGTACGATTTGGTTTTACTTGGGCTGGAAACAAGAAATGTGCCCATAAATAAGATCAAGTTCGAAGTTACATTTTTAAAAACTTGAAAATTCGTTTAAAATTTAAATTAAAAGATCTGATAATGAAACAGAAAAATAAGAAAAATGTGATCTTCATTTTGTAAATGGTCCATAAAACTGATTATTCAGCCCAGTCGGTTAAAGAATTATTCCCATGCCCAAGTAAATACCAAGAAAACTACCAATGCCTACAAAATTCCCATCACTGACACAACGCATATATGCATAAGCATATAGCAGCTATATAGTGCGATCCGATCGGATAGCCTATGCCCTATACTCAGTACTCATGCAGCCGTTTTCGTGTCTATCAGTCAGTGAAGCTAGAGAAACCAAAGCCTAGACATAGTTAGTCGATAAGGGGAGGACTCGGACTCCCGCCCTATCAAATATACACACATACATATATGTATCAGATATTATATACACATATATATATATATATCTATATAGAAGTTAAGATTAAGCGGCTCAGCTGGCCAGAGGACCACTTTCGACCAAGTGCCGCCGTTCGACAGGCAATGGCATTCATATCGCAGACATATCACAAATTGCACAAATCGAAACCCTCCCCCGCCCACTGAACCAGAGGAACTCTTTCGGATGTCATTGTGGCGGACTTGGGAATGAGAGTGGATTCCCAGGCTGGCTTGGCTATATGATTTCCGATTTGAAAAAAAATTCTTCAGTTAACGATTTGTTAATATAAGACACAACCAAGGTAACGATACATATCAGAGTCTCAATGGCTCGCCTGTTAAAATTACCAAAAGTGATATTACTTATTGCTACTAGTCTATATAAATAATTATATACATATATATCGTATCATATCGATAACATACACACCTACTTTTAGGCCGTACATGAAGTGTACATAAGTTATACAACCAATGGAAACGGAAATCAATTTGAGATTCAAATTCAAGTTTCATATTAACCTACCAATCAATTATTATTTGCTTGTTGACTCTATGAGCACATGGGCGGCTCCGATCAGGGGACTGCCGCCATAGTAGATCTTCGATAGCATAGCATAAATGTGTGTACCTTGTCTATAAGATAAAGATATAAAACTAAAATCTAAAACAAAAATATGAACATATATATATATATATTAATTAAAGATTAAAATACTGTATTTTTGATTAATTTCGACTGCACCACTTTTTAGGGCAGTTTACTGCCCCTATATTATACACCTTTTTAGATGGAGCTTAAGCTCTATTATATCGATAAGTAAAATGATCTTTTATATGCAAATTCAGCATGCGTATATGGATGTCAGAATATTTATGTACATTTTTCAAATGTGTTTAGTCAGAAATTACAGTTTATTACGAGTATATCACAGACTTTCTATATCCGTGAACATATCAGTGAAACGGCCATTTCAATGCGAACCCAGTATATGAGTATCTTATGAATTACGAAAGCAATTGGTTAGATCGCAGTCTGCATATTTATACGCTATATATTAACAGAAATGCACTGATTTTAATGAAGTTACAAATTAAGTTTAGAAAATCTTGGTTTTAATATTGTATTTCAATTACGTTAATTTTTATATGATATATAGACATTCTAGCAAAACAAAAATGTTGTCTGTTTTTATGAATTGATTGCTTTAAATTTTGTTTTAACACTTTTTAATTATTTCACTTGTTTAACTAAAATTTACATGTACTTAAAATATATACATAGCTCTACAAATTTACAAAACTGTAGAATTACTCTTAACTATAATATGAATTAAACTCATGAAAAAATCTCCCATCAAAAGTATCAATTAAAAGGACGGAAAGGTAGTGGCGAAGAAGAAGTAAAGTGTTAAAGCAAACTACATATTTACATATATGAAATGCAAAAAGGAAGAAGAAAACAGAACAATTAACCTAGTCAATAGCGTACATATATATCATTATGTAACATATTATAAATAGATTGTTTATTTAAGTAGCTAACAATAGAATTTTAATTACAATTAACCAAACATATATATAAATCTAAAGAGACCCCAAGAAGCAATATTTATTTAAGTTTCCTTTGAAACAATCATCTAAAAGAAAACCAACAACGCCAAGCCCCAAAGTCATGTTAAGAGCATAGAAATATCAATTGAATTCCCTTCTTATATTTAATTTACTTCAATCAACTTCCTTTCACTAAAATGTGTTTGAACTTTGCATGACTTTTGAGGCTGGTTGTAGATAGATGTCAAATAAATAATACAAAACAATTTCAGGCATTCAAGATTTCAAAATAGATTTGAACAGTTTTAACCAAAGTTTGGTAGAGCGCAACATGTATATGAATCTTCCAATTTTGGTTTACAATTAAATATATATAAAATTATATATATATATATATATATATACAGTTAAGTAATAACCATCACATAATGTAGACAAAGGACGGAGTCCCAGAAGGTCAATAGAAAGTAGCCTGAAGGATGTGTAGCAGTGCCGGCAATGTGTAATAACTTACTAAACAAATAAGAGCAAATGGAACGCATAAACTAAATGTGTTACAAGCATATAAATATAAACAAAACAAGTATAAGAAGAAATGTATGATAAACTATATAAATATACATTTATAAAATGAATTATAAAACACGATAGCAGTTAATTGAATGGTTATACTCTGCGTATTACAAGTGTTGAATGTTCAATAGCATTATATGAATTATGAATTATACGCAATAACTGTGCGCTATGGATAATTAATGAACAAATTCATTTTTAATATCGAATATTTACTAAAAATGATATAGGGATTTTACCTTGGCAAACAAAAAATAAAAAAACAAAAAACCAAACCAGTAAGCACAGAAAAAAATAATTTGATATTTTTTCATATGAGAAATGCCTCTCCGAACAGTTTCTATGTGTTGTGCGTGTGAAGAACGTTTTAGAAAATTTAATTGTATACCCTTAGAGAAAATAAAATGAGTTTGTAAGCGATGCCCACAAAGTTAAATGCCACCACAGTTCAGTTTTTGTATTGTATATAAGGCATAAATCTCGTTAGTTTCGAATGTCTTTTTTGGTAAGAGTAAAAGTCAAACTCAAAGTGGAAGCGTTTCAAGTACATACTTATATAGTACAGAGCTAAATTATTACGAAAGTCTTTGCAATTTGTTTCGGCTAATGTTATAGACGTTTGTGTTACATATTTAACAATAATTATTACGATAAACAGTGGAAATTATAATAACAGATAAGTAAGCAAATCCAAAAGAAATACCAGAAGCGAAAATTAAAATTTTACCAAGTATCCAAATCCCAGTTCTGTAACGTTGCTGTTCAATTTCCAAGTCTATCCATCTATATTCTAAACGTAATTATGTTTGTATCTGAATATCAAACCGTTCTTCAACTATCCCCAAAAATGAAAACAAAAGCTAAGCAGCAAACTAAGTGCTATGCATATCAAAAAAGCGAATCGATCGATGTTCGATGACTAAACATAGCTAGAGCATACATATTGTCAAGGCAAGCCAAAAAATCTCCTCTAAAATCAAATTTAAACAATAGGGAAATCAAGCAGGAACTGCCTCAAAGACAAATACCCTTGAAGTTTCAATTCGATGTGAGTGAATTTTCTAGAAAATTCATGGCATAAGTCAGCCAAATTAAAAGCTTAAACAAACACAACACTCAACTTCTGCTGGCATTGACATTTGCTTCTGGTTTGAAATTTTCTGGAATTATTCAAGGGTAAAATACAAATAGAAAACTCGAACTGCATCGAAAGAGAATTCAAAATGGCAGTTGCCTGCTCCTGGCTATGGGAAATGTTATGAATAATGAATTGAACAAGCAGAACAACACACAAAAAATATAACCGAACGTACATTAAAACATACAGTTATTGGCATGAGCTATAGAGGAAAGATAATGCATTATTACAGAGCGACACACCCATACACACACACCCACACACATCCAACACCCAACAGAAACAAACAAACGACACAAAACCAACATGTACTATTGAAATATAATTGTTAACCATGGAAAAACGAGTCTTTTAATGGAAACTGGCAGCTCATCCGATCTATTAACGATTAATGCAATTAATTAGCTAATGTGGGCGACCAAGGACCTTCTCATTCGATAAAAATCCAACCGCATTGTGTGTACACCTGGTTTTGGTTTCGTGCCAAGTTGGTTTGGAAACTTTAGCATCAATCTGCCTCTTCTGGGGGTTAGTATACCTTTATATATATATACAACAACAAAAAAAACCCCAAACTTGGATATGGCAACAAAGGGGAAAATTGTGTGCGTGCCCTGGGGCCAGAAATTTGTGTGGAAAATGATTTTATGTTTGCAATTTCCATTAGCAACTTTGGCCCAAGTCACGAACAGCCAACCGGAGACTGGGCGTAAAAGTTTCCTTCTTCTAATTTTTTGTTTCGAGCGGAGGATTAGGATGTTGCCCCCAGGTTCAGAAACAGATTCAACCACAACCGAAAAGGTGGACCAATTTTGGTGTGTTTGCATTTATGTCTATCTGTAGAACATTCTGCCTGCTTAGCCGCAAACCGCAGGCCAAGTCAGCAGAATCCCAATCTCCGCCACAATATACGCAAGCAATTTACGCTTTCCGCTTGTTTCAATCCGAACAATTACAGGAATTTTCAATGCCTCAATGCGGCAGTTAATTTGAGTTTGGCGCACAAAAGTATGCTAGGCATTTGTGGCAGAAAAAGAAAATAAAGCCGAGCCCCACAAAAGCGCAACGTAGTCGCCGTCGAAGTTGCCGTGAAACAACGGCGCTAAGACCGTAAAGGATTTACGGCTCAATTGCGATGTGCGTGCGAGCGACGACGGTGGCGACGGGAGCAGCATCCACATCCACATCTTCATTCACATCCCCATCGACATCCACCCTTGAATGGAATAAAGCCCTTTACGGGCAGCCAAACCGAACAAAAGAAGGAAAACTCATTCACTTGGCCATTCATCGCTTGTTCCGACATCCGACAATGTTATGACCCCCGGCAGTATCCGTCACTGAAAGAAATATGTCGGCACTTAGAAGGTCATTAAACTTCGTTTTAAAAACCTTTGAAAATTATTTAGTTTTGGGAATTTTTGTTTTTATTAAGATATATATACCTTTAAATATTAAAAATACATAAAATAAATATCAAATATTAGTAATATTAATTTTTTTTAAAGTATTTTAAAGATAGAATTCACATTTTTAATATCAATTTTTTACAGACAACATAAACAGAAATCAATTAATATCAAATTTAAATCGCCCAAAAATATTTATATATCCTTTATATTTTTCGCTCGAAATATTTAATTCTAAATTATTAAATAAATTTATCTCATAATATTATAATTATAAATATATTTCTGAAATACTAAAACAGCTCTTTTCATTAAAGACTTTTAATGAAAGTGCTAATTTATTTAAAATTTTATTTGAAATTTGGATTTGAATATTTTAAAGAGATAAACCTAAAAATATTTTACAACATTTTTAATGGTGATTATATATTTAATCACTTTTTATTTTTTTAAATTTTTTTCCTTGTACTATACCTTCCACCACCAAATGCTGGTACCAGTCCGTGGCTGCGGTTTGGGGTTCCGGCTTGTTCGACGGGTGTTTTATGTAGTCGCAACGTGTCGCGCCCTCCCGCCTCCTTGGGGTGCGGATTTGTTTTGCCTTTTTAAATTCTTCTCCTTCATTTGCTTCGGTTGCCGGCATCTGTTATTTGGACTGGTCCTAATGAGCTACGGTCTTGGGGTTGACTGTTGCTAAATTGGAATCATGCCGGGAGAAACATTATTTTTCATTGGGATTACATTTTTATCGCATTGTCTGACAGGCGGCAGCAGTTGCCTGTCGTTGCGCCTTTGGTCCTTTTGAAATGGGGAGCGTGGAATGCCATGAATTCGAGCGTGATTTTTGCAGCTTAATAATGAGCCCTTGGTTTACTGGCGCGTTTTATTGGCCAGCGTTTAAAGTAGGGGCGTGTTGGCATTAAGCCCAAGATTTCTTCGCTGTTAATGTGTGAAATGTCCTCAGCCCCATCACATCCATTCTCCATTATCCCATATACTCGTATTCCACATCCATTATGATCACGAGCCCGATCCCTTTCCGCAAAATTATGGCTGTGCCACAAATCGAATCATGAGTTGGCACAAAAATTGACAGATACGAGCAAATTGAAGCAGACAGCAACAGAGGAAAGGGAGCATTACTTGGGGGTAATTCCCCCAATCCGGAACCGGAACTGCGTTGTGTCTGCCTTTGTAATGGTGCATGAATATCTGATTAGCCGTCTGTCGGTCTAATCAGAAATCCTGGCCATCAATCAATCAATTGGAAAAGTGTCTCTGTGAGCGCATATAAGGATACATTTTTAGCCTTTATTTCGAAAAATATAATGAAAGCTTGCCAGTTACAAATTAAATGCGGTAAATAAAAAGCACCCACTCTCTTTAAAGGAAATTTAAATATTTTGTTTAAATTTGCATTAAAAGTTTTAAAATTTATAAACTAGGAAAAAAGCTAAAAGACATCTTTAAAATAAATAATACAAGAGGCAGCTACTTTTAATTTCCTAAAAACATTTTGGTTTAGTATTTAGTTTTATAAAAGAAAACATCCCGGAAGTTTTTGACCATCACTTACGGTCCAGAGATTCCCATCCTTAAAGTCCATTCATATTCATTTTATAGACTCTTTTTGTATTTTCCTACTCCTGGACAGCAGAAAACTTTGTAATTGGGATTTATATTTGCACATCAAAGAAAAAGTAACAAGTACCATAACTTAACATCAACTTTTTGTAAATTGATATTTGCTATATTAAGCGAGCGAGTTACCCCAAAAAATAAACATTAGCCAGCCTCTGAGCCATGGGCCACCCTTAAAGAGAGTGGCCCAAACCAAAGGTTTAATTACTTAATTTGAATTTCTCAACGACGCTTCCTAATACAATTTATTACAATTTGCTGATGGGTATGATGATGTTGGGTCGCCCAGGACAGGTTACAGTTTTGTGGTTGGTTGCCGTTGTTCCAGCAGGGACAGCAACAACAATAGAGCGGACGTTCAAATTGCTGCCACGTGACTCCATTGTGTGATTACCTCCGCCAGCTAGTTGGCTCGACTGGGGCATCTTTAGCGAGATAATGAAAAAAGGATAATAAATTGCATTAAATTTGACATCGTTGTGGGGCAGTCGCGTGCCACGGCCCCCACCTCGCAGTCAAAACCAAAAAAAAGGAAATAATAAAACGAAGGAAGGCCTGTTTGCTGTTTCTGCTCGTTTTCCTTTCATCCCAATTGCCATAGAACAATTTTATTAATAACATTATGATTGTCCTTCCATCGAAAAGTAGATGGGGCCGATTTAGCTGGAAATCGAGCAGCTTTGAGTGCTGGTCCTTCAAAGCGGTCATTGCTTTGACCCTGAAGTGGCAGCTATATATCAGCTTGCGTTCCATTCAAGTGGCCAGCAATTTAGATAAGAGCCTGTCTACCTTTACAGAGGGTTTATTATTTAATAAGGATTGATTTTCAAATTATATATATATAATATATAATCCATTTTGCTTCCTTTGTGATAACTTAAAGTGGAAAATTAGATAACTAAATAAAGAGTAGTTACTAAAGGAAATCTGTTCCTTAAATTGACATTCTGCCCCAGCAATAAATTAACATTAATTCGAAATGGCTTATATAGTTTTAAAATAAATATAAACAAATAATACAATTCGAAATTAAAGCCGCAAATACCCATTCCACTAGAATTCCCAAAACTTATCTTTTTTCTCCCTGATAAATGAAGATTGTTGGGATGTAAAGTTCTCTTTTGACTTCTGGACAAAAGCATTTCAAAGGCCCGGAGACCCACTCCTGTTCATATGAGCTAAGGGCCGGAAATTCGAGCTACTCGGGCGCAATGGCAACCGGAAGACCTTATACAGTTGAATTACAGCAATGACAGCTAAAGTTTTTATGTGTATGTCGGCAACTGTAAGACGGACAAGCAAAAAGGAAATGAGACTGGCTTTAAGCCCAAGAGTTTTCAGTTTCCTTTTGGGCCAATTTTATTGCATTTCGCTGGCGGAAGCCTGGCCAAAACAATAAATGGCAAACTTGCACGAATTTGTCCGAATCTCTTATGTGTTTTGATGCCGGGACGTTAAATGGTTGTGGGTCATCACAGGGATAAGAAAACCAAACTAACGTAATTTGAACTTCAGATAAGGGAAATCAAATCAAGGGTTGCCGTCAAATAACTCGGAATACACGGTGACGCATACGTTATACATCTTGGTCTTTTGCGCTGGGCTGTCAGTCGATCGATAAGGTCGGCCTTTTTTCGGATACCCCAAGCTCTTGAGGCTGGTGACAGTGATTAACTAGTTTTGTAGCAGCAGTCTAACGATTGCGGCAAATTACTCAACAATTTAATTCGATGTTCAACAAGTGGTTAATCAGCGATTGTCGCGTCGTACCTGTTTTTGTTCTTTTGTTTTTTCAGGATGGAAAGACTCGATTCTGTCGATTCCAAAGAAATGGCTCTCCACGGCCGAGTCTGTCGACGAATTTGGATTCCCTGACGTGAGTAAAATTGATTAAACCATTTCGAATTTCCTCCTTTTTCCAGCAAATATTTGCCCAAGGGCTGAACTCGACTGTTACTTGAATAATTCGTAGGCAAACACACACACAGACAGACAGACTAATCCTGTTTGTTATAATTACAAATGCAAATAACGAGGGCTTTTGTATGGCAACAGGAGCTTCGAGCTACGAGCTCCTGGCAACCAACCAACCTGCCACAGCGCGTGCAAACAAACCGGAAAAACCAACCTTCCCAAAAACCCACTTTACTGAAAATCTTCCACCACCCACATCACTCACCTGAAAAAAAGCACAGCAGCCGGAGGAACAACCCCGGGAAAACAGAAGGGGATTCAGCTGAAAGGCGATTCACCGAAAAAGACAAGTGACAAGAGAGACTGGGTATTGGGTTTTTTGGGTTTAACAAAAGTTTCCGTTACTTTGAAAACGGAGAACAGGAAAAATCTGGAAGTCAACGACATGTTGACACTTCTAATGTTTCGACTATATACTTTTTAAGTGGATATATGTGTTTTCTCTTCTCATCAGGTATTTTTCAAAACACAAGGTCGATGGATACATTTAAATATGAATTTTCAGTTAAAAATCCTGCCTTTATAATGACGTTGACCATCTAGAAATCGATTGGTCTTGCAGACCTCAAAGTCCAAAGACACTCCACTGGGGAATTCCTAGGGCAAAACTCTCAATTAAAGTTTCCGGGCGAGGGTGGATGCAAAAAAAAAAAAAAAGAAAACGAGACGGAAAAAATGTTTAGTAGTTGGAGTACAATGTCAGATTCAAGCAATGCCATTTCCTTTACTTTTCTTTTTTTTGTGATTTGAAATTCGGTTCCCTAGGGCATAAACTTTTTGTATTGCAAGGAAACTTTCCATTTGACGCTCGATATTGCCATGCATACAAATGAGGAAAATGGGGGGGAAATAGAAAATGTGAAAACTGGGCAATGCCAAGTGTCTAGGATGAGTGGAAGTGAAATAAAATTAAATTTGCAGCACCAAGCAGTTTGCTAACCCCATCGAGAATCCTTTATGTTTTTCCACACTTGCAGACTCTACCCAAGGTGCCTGTTCCGGCGCTGGATGAAACGATGGCAGACTACATTCGCGCCCTGGAGCCGATCACTACGCCGGCGCAGCTGGAACGGACAAAAGAGTTGATCAGGCAGTTCACGGCTCCCCAGGGTATCGGCGTCCGGCTGCATCAGTATCTTCTGGACAAACGCGAGGCGGAGGACAATTGGGTGAGCATTAAATTGGCCTAAATATTTAGCTTAAAATGATAAGTAATAAAAAATGGTTAGTAAAAATATATTTTTGTCAACTTTTTTGAACTTGTACAATCAAATATTCTGGTATTTCAAGTTATATTCTGGTATATATAAAGTTAAAAATAATTTATTTTTCATAAACAGTGTGTCAACACTTTATTCTGTCGTATAATTCGGGGATTTGTAAACGATCATCTCATTTTTTAGCCACACTAGCCGAAGCCTCCGTCGGAGGTGTGTCGTTGATCACCGGGGCTGTCGGTGCTGGCGTCACTGGAGTGGGTGTATCGTTTCCGCCGGAGGATGGGGGCTGAGGCACAGAGATGGTGGTGCCCGAAGGGGTGATAATATCGTCGCTGTCGGTGGTGGTGGTAGTAGGAGCCTCAGTCGGTGGGGTGGGTTCCGTTACAGTTGTGGCCTCTGTAGTAGTGGGAGCTGGAGTAGCGGTGACGGTGGTGGGTTCAGGAGTGGCCGTGACGGTAGTTGGAGCTGGAGTGGCGGTGACAGTAGTGGGTTCAGAAGTCGGAGTTGCGGTAGAGGGAGCTGCAGTGGTGGAGGAGCTAATTTCCACGCAGGTGACGTTAATCGTCAGACTGCTGCATTCGGTGCTAGGGAAGAAGTTTTGGCAGCTCACGCAAGACTGATAAGCGTAGTTAAAGTAGGTATTCGCTGCGCAATTCTTCAAATTGGCGTCAATCTTTGTTTTGTCAGTAGCGTTGGTAGTGCACTGGTAATATTGCGAGGCGTCCTCATAGTTTGCCAGCTTTATATTTGACATTGGGCATACGACGGGATCAATCTTTTCCGAATACGGCAGCACTTTTTCGCAGGTATCGGCATTAACAGCCACCAAGGCGGCGAGCAGAATGATTACTTAAGGATTGAAAAAAGGAATTGATATGTTGGGTTATATGATGGGCTATATCCTGTTGGCCTGAGTCTTGTTCTGCTTACCGGCGTTCATGTCGCTAGTGGGTTTCCTTTTTTTGGGTTACTGGCGAGACTGTCGAAGAATTGGGTCTGGCTGTTAACTCGGCTCACCGATCACTGATGCATTTCAGCCAGCTCGAAAGGCTTTTTATGCCGCAACAGCACATGTTTGACATGTTTAATCAGCCCGCTGTTAGATTAATTCGTGTCTTTTTGTCGGCCGGGTGCGAAATTGAAATCAGCAATGCCAACCAACCATGCTTAATTGCGCCTTAGACTCGTCGCCCCCGAAGTTTCAGTAATCTTGGCCAGATAAGGTCGGGGCGGAAACTATTCCGAATCTGAATGTCAAGTTACTCCCATTCTCCACTCAAAAAGTAGGAACTTCTCATTCCAAGTGTCATGTCAATTAGCATCGTGGCTAGATTATCTTGTATGGCGGAGATCCCAGACCTACTAGGTAATGACTTCATGATATTTTCCAGCGAACTGAAGTTCTCAGCACTTTATCACTGGCTGGCACATATTAGTCGTTGTTACTTCACAACATCATCGTTTACGGTTTGGGGAACCACTGTCTTCACCGTAAATGCTTAGATTTTTATGGTAAAGATAAGAAAATGTAAACACACTTTACATTATAATAGTATCTAAATATAAATAAATATTAAAAGATTCTAGTAAAAATTGTATACAAATACCCTAAGGTCTACGTAGTTTAGAATCATTTTTAAATTCTAGGTAATTTTCATGAAATACAATTACTTGATTTTATTCTAACGGAAAACGCTGCAGATATAATGTTTTACTAAAAACCAAGATCAAGATAATGTCAATTTATAACCAATTTGAGGGAGTTGTGACCCAATAGCTCAGTTCTAAGTATGTGTACTTCACTTTTTTCTTCTAATTTTACATTATCGGATTCGGATGTCAATAGCGAGCTATCAAAATATTCCGTGAATAACAAGAAATCGCAATCAATTACCCGTTTTTGACTCTCTAGTGCGATAAGGAAGTTCTGGAAACAACAACCGCCATTTCCCGAACCCGTTCCCGTCAAGAAATATGAACGAAAGTCATTGCCAGTTAGATATTTAATTACTTTAGGTTGCTATTTAGAGTAGTGAATGAAATTCCGCTTGCTGAACGATGGGCATTGAACTGGCGATCATTGTCGGGATTGGATTTTAGGCGGTGGCTGGCTTCTTCTGGGCCTTGCTGGGTGGCGTTGGCTTCTTGGCGGCCTTGGCGGGAGTAGGAGCTGTCTTCTTGGTAGCAGCGGGCTTCTTGGCCGAAGCGGCCTTTGAGGGAACTGGAACCGTTGCCTTCTTGCCGGGGACTGGAACCGAGGGTTTGGTCTTCTGGGGAACTGGGGCAGCGGGCTTGGCGTTTTGAACAGTGGGTGGGGTTGGGGCCTCTGTAGGTGGGGTGGGGGGAGTGGGATAGTCCTCACCCTCATCCTCGTGGTGTTCATGGTGTTCGTGGTGCTCCTTGTGCTCGTGGTGCTCCGGGGTCTGGGCCTCAAGCTGAGAAAGTCCGGAGATCACTGGTGGCGCATCATCAATGACTTGCGTGGTAATAGGAGCTGCGGTAGGCAGGGCATCCATGGGTGGGGCAGGGATGTAATGGGCGGGTGGCACGCACTGTTGAAGAACGAATGTGAACACCTCACCGGCTGGACAGTGAACAGTCAGCTGGCCGCCATTGACGCTTTGGCACACGTAGTACTCCGAGTTGCTGTGGTAGCTGGGCCAGCGGATGCTGATCTCACTGCGTTCGCACTGCAGCTTGTAGTCCATGCGGGCCTGGCTCAAAGCCAGCAGGCTCAATAGGGTCAATGCGAATACTGCAAGGATCAATAAAAAGGTTACAAATTATAGAAAAATCAAAACTTTGAAATCTTTTAGCGATCGGTATATCGTACCTTTCATCTCTGGAGTGTGTCCGTTTCGTGGCTATTCGTGATTGTTCAGGGGAACTCTGGTACTGTTCTTCCAATGGTCCAATTGCCATTATTTATACTACCTAGCATCATGCTATCAGCTATCAGTAATCAGCAATCAGCGATCTCCAATGATGCTTTTAGATAGGCCGCTCCCAAAAAATTTCCAAAAATTCACAGCTAATTGAATTTGTGTCGAACACGAAAAGGAAATAACGACCATTAACATGTTCTTTTTATGTTACTCTTTAACCCAGAAAAAATTCGAAATTTTATTATTATTACCTGAAATATCTTAAAAAAGAAATATTTTTGAGTAACTGAATCATTTCTGGGCAGGCCTATTACTACTGGCTCAACGAGATGTATATGAACATTCGCATCCCCTTGCCGATCAACTCAAATCCGGGCATGGTTTTCCCACCCCGTCGCTTTAAGACGGTCCACGACGTGGCACACTTTGCAGCCCGACTGCTGGACGGCATCCTAAGCCACCGTGAGATGCTGGACAGTGGGGAGTTGCCTCTAGAGCGGGCCGCCTCACGGGAGAAAAATCAGCCGCTGTGCATGGCGCAGTATTACCGCCTGCTAGGCTCCTGTCGACGACCAGGTGTTGAGCAGGACTCCCAGTACCTGCCGTCGCGGGAGCGCCTCTTAGACGAAGATCGCCATGTGGTGGTGATCTGCCGCAACCAAATGTACTGCGTGGTTCTGCAGGCCAGTGATCGTGGAAAATTGTCCGAGAGTGAGATCGCCTCACAGATCCTTTATGTTCTCAGCGATGCTCCTTGTCTGCCTGCTAAGCCCGCTCCAGTGGGTCTGCTGACCGCCGAACCAAGAAGCCGCTGGGCACGTGACCGGGAAATGTTGCAGCAAGACGAACGCAACCAACGGAATTTGGAGCTTATCGAGACCGCCCAGGTAGTGCTTTGCCTGGACGAACCGCTGGCTGGAAATTTTAATGCTCGCGGCTTTACCGGTGCCACTCCCACCGTTCATAGGGCTGGGGACCGAGACGAGACGAACATGGCCCACGAGATGATCCACGGCGGAGGCAGCGAGTATAACTCGGGAAATCGCTGGTTCGACAAAACCATGCAGGTATAATTTTTAATTTTAAAAATAAATTCCGAATTTTTTAAACATAAATAAATATAATTTTAAGCTCATTATTTGCACCGATGGAACTTGGGGCTTGTGCTATGAGCACTCCTGCTCTGAGGGCATAGCTGTGGTGCAGCTGCTTGAGAAGATCTACAAGAACATCGAGGATCACCCAGCGGAAGATAATGGGCTGCCCCAACATCATCTGCCACCTCCGGAGCGTCTCGAGTGGCATGTTGGTCAGCAACTACAAGTGCGCTTTGGCCAGGCCTCCCAGAGCGTGGATAAATGCATCGATGACCTGGATTTTTACGTGTACCGCTACCAGAGCTACGGAAAAACCTTCATCAAATCGTGTCAAGTCAGTCCAGATGTATATATCCAGCTGGCCCTGCAACTGGCGCATTACAAACTCTACGGGCACCTGGTGGCCACCTACGAGAGTGCATCAACTCGTCGATTTCTGCATGTGAGTATTTCCTATCGATGTAAATATAATACTACTAACTTATCAACAACATTAAATAACTTGACTTAGTAATTAAGGAATTGTTATTATTTAATATGTATTAATTAATATGTAATACCACATCACCTTGTCAAACTGACCATCATCCATATCATTTTTCTTCCTATGATCCTTTTTCAGGGTCGAGTGGACTGCATTAGGGCTGCTAGTACGGAGGCATTGGAGTGGGCCAAGGCCATGTGCCAGGGAGAGGGTGCTAATGTTGCCCTGGAAAGCGATCGCGAGGAGGAAGAGGAGTCACGCAAGGTCAAGTTTAGCATTTACAGTGTGGGTATTCCAGCGTATACCCACCATCTTTGAATTAGTAACTTATCTTCGCTCCCACCCACAGAAGGATCATCTACGTGAGCTGTTCCGTTGTGCCGTAGCACGGCAAACGGAGGTAATGGTGAAAAACATCCTGGGCAATGGCATCGACATTCCGCTGCTAGGACTTCGAGAGGCCAGCATAGAGGTCACCGGAGAGATGCACGAGCTTTTCAAAGACGAATCCTACAACATATCACAGTGTTTCCTTCTCTCCACCAGTCAGGTAGAAATGTGTCAATATGTGTATGGTAACAAGCACCACCCTGCACTTTTTCACCTCCGCACCACCTAATCAATTCTTGCACCACAGCACCAATGAGCACTACTATCCAGCTGCACACGTAGGTATCAGCTAGAATGAATGTTTAACTTTTCAGCCTAAGGACATAAATTATAATCGCAAAGGATGAATATTACAAAATTTGTTCTAATTCTTGAAATACCCACATAGGTGGCCTGCAGCACGGACAGCTTCATGGGATACGGACCCGTTACGCCACGTGGTTATGGCTGCTCCTACAATCCACATCCTGAGCAGATCGTCTTCTGCGTCTCGGCCTTTTACTCCTGCGAGGACACGAGTGCCTCGCGCTACGCCAAGTCTCTGCAGGATTCTTTAGACATAATGCGAGATCTACTACAAAATTAGGCGGATTAGCCACAGATCTGACCTACAACAAAAGAAAGGGGGTCCACCAACAAAAACATATCAGTAAATGTACCTTTAGCAGGTTAGCGAACGAAACTAAGTAAGTGTAACTAGCGACCGCCCGAGCGTTTCATTTGTGACCAAGCACCACCAAGCGAGCCACCCAACGAGGGGTGGAGATCTGAAGATAATGAGAAGGGATAACGATAACGAAATCGAAATCGAAATCGAATACTAATGTCAATCACTAATCATGTTGAGACAAAAAAGAAAAGAACAACCTATACGCAACCCATTCGCTTTACATATCCGTTTACCAAAGTATCCTCGTAGTTTCAATTAGAGCAACTCTAGTCAATTAAATGTTTTAGAGCCATTTTATGCGCAAAACTGTTAGTGCTGTTATCTAAGTGTGTTACTTGTGCAATATTAATTATGAGTGTTATACTAATTCACGTGCTAACTAAATTATCTGAGCTTACGAACTTGTTTACCCTTATTGGCCGAAAAAATATGGCGTGCAAGCCCATAAGTATGCAATACTTTTTGTTACAAGAGTTGTGTTTTAAATACGTTCTATAGGTGTTACAACAGATACTAGCTAAACGTTATACTAAAAGTACTCTCTACGCTTGTTACTGCAATTTCGTTGTTGTTCGTTTCAGAATTTATTAAAAAATTATAAGGTGTATGTTGAGATATTTCCATATATATATATTCGTGTTTTAGAGAGCAAATGGTATACCGTAACTAAAGGCTTTTTGGATGAATATATATATGTATATGTAAAACCCATGAAAATATAAAGAAACAAAAAATGTAGAGGAATATATATAGAGAATATCGTGTATGCGTATAGACTTGAGACGTAACAATACATATCAATAAATTTATATACACCCCCGGAAGGCAAGGAATGGTGATTGAGGGAGATTACAGCTATAGATATATAACCTACATGTGTTTGTCTGTTCAAGCCGTTAGTGAAATATAAATGCTTCGATGTCAATTCGAAGCTATAAATATTCTACAAAAAAATATATACATAAATATTATACGTATGTTATTTACAAGAGAAATTATATGAGAAACGTTAAAGGACAACCAGATACATATATCAAACTAGTTGCTGTGTTCATTGTTGCTATATATGTATGATTATCTTCTAAACTGTTAACAAAACTATCGCTACAAACTACCCAACTATCTATCTATCCTGTATTCGATCTGTGTACTATTACGTTACCTTACTGTTACTTTCGTTAAGTTTGACTTGTTTCCATATGGCCAAGAGCCGCAATTAATGTATGCAAAAATAATCACGAACCGAATAAAATGAAATAAATGCATTACAAATGAAGACCATTATTCCTGACCTACAATTGATCTGCCCATGAATGAAAACAATCGTATATAGAATTGATTTTCGTACTCCGCTACGGATTCTAAATTGGTCATACAATCCACGTCAACTTCCAAGAATAGATAAATCGTCTTCCGCCGAAAACAGTCACCCTAAAACCAAATAAGCGTTGCGCAGTTCTTAATATCCAAGTGGTGGAGATGATAAGAGACCAATGATAAACAATTGTCAGATTGATGGTGTTTAGAAAAATATTAATTAAATATACAATATTTACTCCATGGTCACGCGATTTTCAATAAAAAGCGCTGGAAGACAAAGACCGGTCATCAGTCTTAAAAGCACAATCGACATGAAATGTAAGTATAGGAAAAGGAGTATCAAGTATAGAAATCCGTGGACTAACGCTATACACTTGTTACAGACTTCAACCTACTGCTCAGCATCTGCCTGGTTTTCATGCTGTGCTCCTCATGGGCCGCGGCCTTCTCCAGCCTTGCCACCCCGGATCCAACCCCACCAACTGGTACTGCCGCCACCGGCTCATCTACGGGTTTCCCCGGACCGCCAACGGCTGCTACCACAAATCCCACGCCAGAAGTCAGTACTGCGTTTTCAATTTACGGATAAAATCATAGAAAATTAATGAATTAAAAATTCAACTGCAATTATATTTAAATATGTCTAGTATTCTCTTGCATAAAATAATTTGGGAAACGGTACGATTGGTTTTTTGATAACTTTATAGGGGTAATATATTGTCCAACATAAAACTAGGCGTGGCCATTAAAATAATCGACATACACATAAATTAGACACTAAACAAAACGCACACCATTCACATATGCGTCATAAGTAAAGGTGAGCCAAACAAACTGAGGTTTAGGTAAGTAAGCAGTAGGCTGCAATTAGCTGCTGGTTGCCACGTTCCGCCGGAAAGAGCCTCGCACCTGCATCTGCAGCTGTTCACTGCTGCACTCGTCTCGACCATACTACGAAAACAAACCAATCAATGATATACATTTTTCAACGGTATACTATTAGGTCAACTAACCTTGCAGAAATTGTGCTCTAACAGTTCTACTGCCGTTAAACGCTCCTTGGGATCGTGTTGCAGACAATGATCTATGAAATCGTGTCCCTCCTGGGAGAGGCTCTCAGGTGCCTGTGGCTTCTCACCCATTCCCACTTTGAACATGATCTGGAAGTTGGAATCAAACTGGGCCCAAGGTCGCTGTAAAATATTTAAAAATATATATATCAATAAACAAAATATTTATGCGGGCTGCTAAATAATCTCCAAAACTTAATTTTCATACACACATGCATGCATACATTCAAAAGAAATTTAAAACTTCAATGGATAGCAGTAAATACTTTTAAAAAATTCAAAATATTTCAAAGTATTTCAAAGTGATTCAAAGTGACTTGAAAAAATATTATAAAAGAAAAAAGAAGTATTTGTAAGTCGAACAAATGAACGAAATTGGGTGAAAATAATCCAACATTGTGAAATGCGTACTGCTTATCTATAGTGTGAAGCACTTACCTTGCCCGAGGCCATCTCGACAACCACGCAACCCACCGACCAGATATCGGCGGCCCTGCCATGGCCATCACTGTTGGTCTTTGTAAACACCTCTGGTGCCATGTAAGCTTGTGTGCCCACGTAACCTTGCAGTTCACCAGGGACGGTGGTGTGCGCCTGGATCTTGACCGCTGACCCAAAATCGCCAAGTTTTAGGCTGTTGCTGCCGTCCACAAGAAAGATATTTGCAGTCTTAATGTCACGGTGAACAATGCCGTGCTTGTGAAGCTCAGACACGCCCGCCAATAGCTGGGCTGTGAAACGGCGGGCCAGAGCCTCCGGCAGATTACCAGTCAGCTCCACCAGTGACTCCAGGGTACCCTCAGAACACAGCTCCATGAAGATAAGCAGCTCTTCGCGGTGAACCTCAATTCCATAGTACCGCACCAGGTTTTTGTGCTTGATTCCCTCCAGGATCTTCAGCTCTTCAGCCACGTTCTTGAGCGCGCGTGTCTCACCTGGCTGGATAGCAATCTCTTTCATGGCCATCAGCTCTCCAGTGTTATTATTAACAGCTGTGTACACCTTGCCAAAACGGCCCTGGCCAATCTTAATGCCACGATGCCAGCGAAAGTGGACGCTACGTGCTCTAATGTGGACTTTGTCGCTGGAATTAAGAGACTTAACTTGGCCAATTAATCTACGTTCGCGCAGCCCATCCTCTAGATCCATATCCAAACGGTTCACCGCATCTCTTACTCGTTCCTGCCGCAATGCCAGCGGCGTACTCTCTATGCTGGCCTTTCCAGAAGAAGCGGGCGTGGGAGGCGTTTGAGGAACTAACAGGCGCAGCTCGCCATTAGAACTCCTTTGGCACGGAGTGTCCACGTAGTCTGCACTGTCTATGGAACTATACGTGTTTCCAGACTGCTGCAAAAGATCCTCCTTTAAACTGAACTGAGGATGCAATAGCTTGTTATATGGGGGCGACTGCAGTGGCGGCGTATTTGGATTAGGAACCATTCCAGCGGACATTGGTGTCCGAGTGGGTGTCCTAGAGCGCGAAGTAGCTGGCGAGGAAGTCTTGCGCGTACGTGGCGATGCCTTCTTCTTGGCCACCTTTTCGGGCTCCGAAGTGATGCCAACTACGTGCGAGATACAGCGATCCATTTGTTGCTTTAGTGCCTCGAACTCGTCATCATCCAAGTGCTGTGTAATTTGGGGATCACAGGCAAGAATCAAAAACTCCAGACCCTGGGAGGCCCAGCGAGGGCGCATTCCTCTACCCCTTTCGCACCGCTCCATTACGAAATGCATCCACATCTTGGCGTAAGCGATGATGCCTAGAGCCAGATCTACGGTATGGGCACCGCTATCCTTTTGATCCATAATCCTCTGCTCAAACAACCGGATCACGTCCTTGTGGTACTCGAACCCAAACTTGTAACCCTGGTGGAGAATCTCGCGGGTCCGAGATAGAACAGCCTGTTTGTCCTGCTCATCCAAATCCCTCATGTTGCTCAAACAGCATCGTTTCTGCACGCCTTCAATGATCGCCGTCAACTTGTTGCGCACCTGCAAAACATCTTGCTGCAGCAACTTAAATGCAGCCTTCACATCGGAGCATATAAAATCATGCTGCTGGTTAGCCACATCGTGCTCATAGTGCTCGCGATGGAAATCCGTCGTCTCCACGTCTCGACAGAAAGTCTTTGCGAAGAATAGCACCTTAATAGAACGTTCTCGCTCGACGGTGAGAAGCGACTGAGTCTCACGGCAGATGGTCAGCAGCTGCCACTTAACCTCTTCATTGTCATCACTCTCGGCAGTTCCCTCAATCTGTTGATCCAGTTCCACTGTGCGCTTAACCAGGCGCTCTGAAATGCTGCGCAACAGCTTGCTGATGATGCCGCAGAACTTCTGTGAGGCCAGCGTGTGCATGCCCTTGATCATGGGGCTTATAAGCTTGGTAAACATCCACTCCTTCTCCAGAACGGACTTCTGGTTGCCTTCCGGCACGGCAACCAGCACCAGTTGATCGATGTACTCCAGGTACAGCTCAAAAGTCTTTCGAACAGTAGCATCATAGTGGTTCAGAATGCTAATATAGCTCCCCAGTTCGGCTTCGTTTTCCACCAGAGCCGTGGTTATGTGCCGCTGGTAACGTTCCCGATGGGTCAATGCCAGCGTCAATCCCTCCCTAAGCTCTTTCATCAACTGCTCTAGGCTAAGGGGATTGGGTCGCACGGGTCGCGTTTCGAGACGCATGCGCAGGAACTCATGCATGAATTGTAACGGAATGCCGCTCAGGAATACGAAGGTAGGAATGTACGAGGGCAAATTAATTGATTGCGCTTCCTCACTCCAGTAGCCATAGGTGCGTAGCTCCACAACCTGTTCGCGGCTTATTTGTGGATCAAGCCTCGGTACATCTTCCTCAATGGCCTCCGCGTCTGCTTCGAAATCCAAGTCATCAACTCCGGGTTTCTCTAAAGCAATGTGAGCCTTGTACAGGGCTACGTTGTGTAGTTTGTGAAGAAAAGCCAGTGACTTGGCCAACCCACGACTTTTGAGCACGTTTTCGATGAACTTGCGATAAAGTCCCGTAGACTGCTCCCCGGTGCCATTGTTGCTACAAGTACCCAGTGGTTCCACGCTAAAGATGTTAATGTCGTGCATGGATCCTTTGCGCATATGGCTGTGCGAGCACTCACTGGACAACTGGCTGATCTCCGTGGAGGTGGACCTTAAGGATTAAAGAAGTTTTATTTATTTTCTAAATTTCTGAAGTTATTTACTTACTCATTGCTACTCGATGTTTCTCCTGGCACATGAGTTGCATCGTTTAGCATGAATTGAACCTTGTGGCATGGTGTGACACTCCCGTTACGACAACTCTTACGCGAAGCTGATCCCGCCACGCTGGGCGGTTTGGATGAATCCATTGAGTTTACAGCAGAGTCATCGTTCTCCACACCCGATGCAGATGAACTGCCGCTATCCGATGCGATGTACGATGAAGTGCAGACAGGCCACGAGAACTTCTCATCTTGCAGCCTCGCCAAAATCTTTCCCAAAATACTGAGCTTCAATTTGTTTTGCTTGGTAATGTTATACCACAAGCACATGGACTTGATGCGGCCCACAAAGCTCTGTGATTTGTAAATTGGATGTAGGGCACCCATGGCTTGTGAGGAAGGATACAGTGCTTCGGCAGCTTCCAAACGCGTCAGCATGCCCTCTACTTCTCGCAGAGCCAACTCCTGATGATCCATGCAATCCTTACAGTACAGCGACATGCAGCCTTGGCACATCTTGCTGGGCAACGGAGCTGGAAAAGATTTTAAATAAGTTAAAAGTTTTTTATATGAAAATCAAATTATCCGACTCACAGCTGGCATTTGAGTTGCTATCGGAATGAATACCGCTGTCCAGGCTAATCAGACTCGGTTCCCGGCGGTAACGCGGTTGGAACTTGTAGTTGAGAATGTGGGTAAGAAGTTCGGAAACTCCTTGTCGCGCTTCGAAAAGGTACTTGTCCTGCTGCTCCACTGTTCTATCGGCTTGCCACGCCTGCAGCTCAAGCCAAATGAGATCCTTTAGCTCCGTCTGCCAGGTGTGCTCTTCCTGCGACAACTTGGCATCTTGTCGATCCACGCTGCCTAGCTTAATAAGATTGGCAAACGTCTCGTGGAAGTCCTTGCGTTTTCCCAATCCAGCTGTGGCTCTACCATCGGTTCTCAACATCCCAACAGGAAGTTGTGCCGCAAAGGCCAACGGAGGCGCCGAGGAACGATATCCTATTGGGCGTGAGGAAACGCAACGGTAGCGATTGCAGCTCTCAACCACCTTGGAGGCAATTCGCAGAGGAAGTGGTGCCATCGCTTCCGAGTTAAGAGGCATAATCTGGTCCAGAGACTCCAACGGATGGGCAGTCTCATGGAAGCTGTTGCCCCTTGGTGGCGCTACCGCTGTCGTGGCCAGCGAGTTCTTCATCTCGCGCTCCGAATCACGAAGAAGTGATTGCAACCGCTTGTCTGTCCTCTTGTTCTCCTCGTTGACAAACATCTCGTTGAGTAGAGCGCAGTCCATGGTGTTGCGCCGCAGGACGCGGGATCTGGCCATTCGGGTCATGCCCTTTTTGGGGGTGCCTCCCACACTGGCGGGTAAGTCTGTGGAACTGAAAAAAAAAATCTTTAGGAAGTGTGGAATTATAAACATTACAAATAATATTTCCCACGATTCCCAATAATAACTTGCTAGATTTTCAACTTCATATTTGCAAGACACCTTACTTTTTTACTTAAATTTTAACTGAGGAAGAAACCTATATGAATAGACTTCATAATGTTTTTTAAAATGTATTATTTAGAAAACCAAAAAAAAAAAAAATTGTTAAATTTTTAGTTCAAGAAATTCAGTTTTTAGCTGCAAAAATATTTTACATTGTAACATTCCAATACTTCGAAGTACTACTGTGGTTACAGAGATGACATCAGCAATAGAGATGGCACTATCAGGTGCAGCATATGGTGGCATATGGCATATGGCTGTTTAGTACGACTGCGTTCGTCACTAGTGCCGATCACATCTCTAGCACGGACGCAAACCAATCACAACCTTATCACATCAACTCTATATATCTCAGAAAGCCATATGGAGCACCCCGTATTGAATGTAGATACTCACGCCGTCACATTGACCACCTTCTGTTTGCGTTCCCAGTCACGGCTTTTGATTTTGAGCCTTGTGCGGGGAGGAGTGGTACCAAACGCCTCATAATGGGACGCCAATTCATCCTCTGGTGGCATGTCCTCCTCAAGAGCTCCGATCCGACCTCCAACCATTGGCAATGGCCGCGAAGGCGTCTGCTTATTACGGTACTCCACTCTAAAAGATACGAATACGGATGAGCAAGAGATTGCATGAAATGCTTGATAGTATATTTGCACTAATCTATAGCCCAGGGCTTGCCCTAATTGTTTCACTAATTGCATCGGCGGACAAGTGCCGCATAATCGCCGATAGCTTAGATAAATTAAACTACTGCACTCAGAAAAAAAATCAAAATATGTCACACTTTTCAATTTAAATACTTGTATATTTTAAAATATTTTAGTATGAAATTTTTTAAACGACTAATAATGTTGATAAGCTTCCCTCGCAGTTCAAGAGAACGTTTAACTTTATTGTTTTTAAACTGTGTAACTGCGCAAATGCTGTTTGCTTCTAAGCTATTTAATTACTCACTTATCAAAATTAACTTTTTTAATTCGTCCTCTCTAAGTAAAATGCGTTAAAAATGTGACCCTTTTGAGCAATAAGTTATTTATATTACGTTCAATTTTTATATCTTTCTTCGTGTGCATCACAAGTCATTTTGTGGGTATATTGTAGGGAGTGACAAGGGGCAAGGTTTTGGTAGGACATCCTTATCTTATCAAACTGCTGCTGGTGTTGCAGACAACCGCTTGTCACGCCTGCGATTATGCTCTAATTTGAGTAGAGGTTTGATTTATTCGATCCTAAAAAAAATGCCGACATTGACTGGCAATAACTGGTGTGATTGTTGAGCCAATCGCGCCACATTTTTCATCAGCCCATTTGCAAAATTCACTCACTTCTTTCGACGCATTTTTCCTGCAAAGCCTAAAGAATCACAGTTTGGGGGATCCAATAACTCCAAAACCGGCAGAAATCAGCGAGTCGCAATGGAACGAGAGAACTTTAGAGTGCAATTCTCCTTTTGCCTCTCCACTGGTTAATATAGTGCCGCCCGATGGTTTTAAGCTGTGTTTTATCGCCGTGATCGAGGGCTGTTATTATTATTTTCAGTCTCTCCGGTGGGTGCCAGAGCGAGATCGGAGTGCCCCCACCAATTTATGTACATCTAATTGCACGGCACAACACACTCCGGGGACAAAAAACAACAGCGGAACGAGCCGAGAGTAAATAAAAAGCGACAGCTCACAATTATAAACTGGTGGAGAGAACTTTAGACGCGAGCCAGCGAACGATGACTGGTCTGGATGATGGCCGATCCCCGGCACCCGACTCCCTTTTTCGATCGGTGGAATCTTAATGGGGGATGGAGGAGAATGTTATGCACTATCTACCAGCGTAGTAGTTTTCTAGGTGGTTTATCACAAATGGCAAACAGGCGGCCGCAGTTCGCACGCCTCGCATGGAACCCTTCCGAATTTCATAACGCGGAACACTTGCCGCGGCAGCCAGTCAATTTATTAGCACTTTTAACAAGAATATTTCCCATCTATTTGCCAATGCGTATAGTATACGGATCTGTATGTAATATATGCGAATGTGTGCCGCGGCCGACGAAGCGGTGTCGCCCCCAAAACGACTGCTATTCTCTGCCAACAGCGGCGAACTGAAAAGTGGTGAGCAGTGAGCAACCGCCCGACGCATCCGATTGTTTACCGCCTTCAGCGGAGAGCAACTAGTGGGTGGCTAGTACAAATCAGTGATTACGATTTAGCTATTTAGAAGCTTTTTTTAATTTTGTAAATTATCTTGTCAAAAATTATGTAGCTTAACAAATAAAACTTATTTATAACTGACATATAAATCCAACCATCACTTATTTTATATAACTTTTAAGTACATATTTTATAAATATGTATCTTGATTAAGCCACTTTTAGCGGCAGCCCAGAAAGAGAAAAAGATATATAAAAAATAAAGCGAAAGAGATATGGAGTTTAAGAGCACAAAAAAGAGGTAGAAGCACGACCAGCATGAGAGACAGAGATTTGTTGTGGAACGCAAGTGGCAATCTGATCGTTTGTGGACCGCAAACGCGTTTGTTTGTGGTTCGTGATTGGTTCAACCGCGCTTATATTTATTATTAATTTATGGGATTTTATTATGTACGCGCTCGTTAGCTAATTAGCAGTGTGTTTACTTAAGCAAAGAATTGAGTGCGGGGCGCAATATGTTTTTGCTCTAAACAAATAGGATTCACCAGGAAATCGAAGAACTCACTTTTGATTTAGTCAATCAACTTGCTTGACTGTAGGTGAAGGACTGTGCTATTATACACTCTTTTTTAGGCTTGTTCCGCACTATCACGTGATCAGCAGTGCGTATACATAACTTCAAACACATACATATATAGACAAACTACACATACGCACCGTGTTACCCATTCATGTTGCATTGATAAATCAATGCCTCAATCGGATTTGTCGTGACTAATCATTTTCCCCCATTGACTGATAGCACGAGTTCGTGGTAACCAAAGTGAGCTGGAAAGATGGATTTTGCAATCCAAGACTCCTATCAACACAAATTCCTAAAAATAAAGTCTAGAAACAGAACCGTATCTCTTCTTTTATGGCCTCAATTTTTCAAGCGAGCATTGTTTAGTGTTTTTTTTTTTATTATATTCCAAACTTGTTTTAATTTATGATGTTTCAAATTAAATATGTATTTTATTGGTATTAAATAATATATATTAATTTAATTTTTTAAAATTAAATAATATTGTAAAGTATAAATTTAGACATGGCTTTCAGATTTTAAAACTGTTTTGATTGAATTCAAAATAATCCCAACAAATTAAAGTCAATTTCAAATAAGATTAATGCTTGTGATATTTCCTAGAGTAAACACGGCATTAAAAAACACATTTGAAAAGTCTAAAATTACTTTGAATGCCTTAGGTAACTGTGTGGGTGTATGGGCGCTATGCGGAAATGTTTTTCTGATATGTGTGTACATTGTACTCGCCATAATTATGCTTATCAAACACACGAAACCCCGAAATTATAACCAACTGATTGTACGCATGCCAGACCGCCCAAAGAGAGAGTGAATGAGCTGGAATATTTAAAGTGAGAGGGCTAGAATGGAGGGGGAGATAGAGAGAGAACTTGCAAGTTCAAGTACAAAAAAATGTTGCAAGAGCGCGATCATGCACTCTCTCTCTTACTAACTAGCTATCTCTTTCTATCGACAAAAAAACCGTTAGGGCAGAGACCTTCAATCATTGGAATTCCATTCATTTAGCTAGGTGACAACCACAAAACTATAGATGGAAATTCGAGAAGAAAGCGAATTCGATTTGAAAACAGAATAACGAAAGAGGTTACAAAGCAGAGTGGGCAAACGCACGTATTAAACGCGTTTTAACTTCCAATAGTCTCCCCTCCTCTCCCCCCTTCTCTCTTCTTCTTTACCTTTAAAACAGGTATACGAGTTAAAGAAGAACAAGATTGGCGGCATCAAACGAGAGATAAAGTCAAAAAGTGCAATATTTATATATGTTTCAACTATGAAATACCCTACAAAAAAATGAAGTGACCTTTATAAAAGCCAACCAATAAACTTTTTAAAGTTAATTGTGTAAATAATTGACATTTTGATAGATGTACCTGATAAAATCCTTTATAGGTAGCATGCCCAGTGCCATTCCCCAGATAAAAAACATAAACCAACATAGAAAAATAATTAAATATAATATACCCTTTTCCTTTTCAATTAACAGGTTTTGAAGCTAACAAAAAATAAAAGAAGAGAGAGCGCATAGCAGAGACATAAATCTCACCTAATTTCTATTAGTTTCAGTAGGAACAGGTGCCAAAAGAAAAATTATATTTGCAGCAAATTTTCTGCTAAAATACGACTATATTTTCCTGCGAAACGAAATCCCAATAAACACTCATCCATCCCATGGAAATCAAACCAAATTTAAACATATTATGAATAAGGCCCCGCGAAAAAACAATAAAAAAAAACAGCGGAAAAGGTAACCGTAATTCCCTCAAGGTGAGTATAGGTGTGTATGTGTTATCAGGCCACCGTCAGCGTTATCAGCAAATATCTTGGAAGACTCGAGGCGGACGAACACAAATATGGCTATGATAAATGCCGAAATACACCGAAAATCAAGAACCCGCAGATGAAATATAAAAACATTCTAATTTTTACAAGCTAAAAACATTTTATCAACTTGGATTGGGGATTTTTCATTGAAAATAAGAGAAACCGAATTAACAAAATAAGGTAATATTATATATTTTAACTGACTTAAAAGCATTTATTATTATTTAAAACAGGACCTTTTTTAATATAACTGATTTAATCGAATAGAAATACCTAAAACAAGATTGTTTTTATAATTTATCATAATATAAAATTTAAAACCTACAATCAAATATTTTAATGCTTGTTTTTCTCAGTGCTGCTGTGCATAAATTTAATTGCGCTGCACACAAAGTGTTCAATTTCAGGCAGAATTCGCAATTTGTAGCTGTTATTTTATATGTCTGTCTTGCAGTTTGCTAAATTCTCGAGTTCGTTGAGCCAGCAAAGGCAATAACAAAGCTAACGTGGCCAAAAAAAAACACGCTGTTTACGTTTAAACAATTAAAACTGGTGAAATGCAAAAGAGAGGAACAGAGAAGGAGGTAATCAGAGGGGAAAAACCACAAACAGGGCTTTGAGAGCCAAACAAGGTAGAGAGCACGAGTAAGAGAGAAACCAAGTTACGTGCCAATGCAGACTTTCTTGCTTTTGTTTGTGTTGGGAAAAGCCCAAAAATTCCAACATTACCGGTGTGCTCGACTCACCTTGCAACATCCTCGTCGATGCTCTGCTCGCGCCGTAATCTTATGGGCGGAATAGGTGGAATGGCGGTCGGAGTTTCGGGCGGAGCAGCACTGTTATTTCCATTGCCATTCTCTTCCTCTCCGACCCCATCTCGTTGATCCACAGAATTCGTTGTTGCCGGTGTCTTTTGCAAATGCAAACTCTGCTGCAGCGCCAGGTAATCAATTGTGCGAACTCTTCGCCTGTTTGACATTTTTGCAAAACTGTGTTTTTTTTGTTGTTGTTGCTTTTGTTATATTCTTGGAATTTGCTGCGCACACAACCACACGCACACACACATGCTCTGCCAGCAGTGCCCCAATACTATCGCAAATCTAGGCACCAATACAATTTAACACTTTAGTGAGCACGCGCCGCGTATTTTGTTGTTGTAGTCGTTTTGCTTGGCGATAATCAGATTTATTTTAATTTAACTTTCACGGCGAGCAAACACATAACGTCTTACGCGCTCCCAAACTCGCGAACTTGGCACGCAGGTAAAGCAGGGCGTCTTACCTGGCCAAAAAAAACAGCTGACTAAACTTCGAGCGACTTAGACCGCCGGCGTCTTTTCTTTTTTAAGAGAGTGGAGAGCGAGCTTTAGAGGTGCTTATAAGCCGATAGTTGTAGCATCAATATAATCGATTCTTAATCGATACTTAAAAAACTTGAGGCTCAAGACTTTATATTAACGTATTATATTATATTAAAAAAATTAACAAAAGTTAAGTTGATACTGATTACATTCCAAAGGTCATTTGATTATGCAAAACGTCTTTCTATCGTTTAGGATTTGCATCACTGGTAACACTTTGGCGGGATGTTACACTTTTAAATTGGCGATTTGTTATGTTTTGTTATAAGTTATGTCAAATGTTGCTGAATATTTACTATAGTTAAAAATTTATATTTATTTATAACCCAAACACATAAGTTTAAACTTTTAATCCCCATTAACGATAAGAACGCATTATGATACTTTTCCTTTTTTTTTACCCTCAATTCCGTTTAAAATTCTCTTTATTATTTAACAAACTTTAACCTGCGTACAAAAGCAACGATTACCAGTAATAGAAACACTCACTTGCCCATGGCAATGATTTAACACGAATTAAGAACTACAGTAACTATTTGGGATATGGGCCTTAACAAGAACGAAAAATAAAAATTTAACTATGATGTCGAAGAGCTTAGAAGAAGTTCCTAAATATGCGGACGACCGCCTGGACCCATCGCGGTACAGGTCGTTGAACTATCTCCCGCTCCGCCGTCTGAGACAGATCGTATAGCCGGTCTGCTTCCGCCTGCAGCCGTTGACTTAGATCCTTATTCGCAGTCACCAGGCACACCTGCGTCTCTAGGTCGCGATTCACCGATCGCTCCCCAAAGTTCGAGGACCCGATGAGCGTGAGGTTTGGCAGTCGAGCCTCGGGCAGGTAATACCACAGTCCCTTAGCATGGTATGTCCAACCCGGTTTCTCATACTCGAAGAAGTTGACCCGGTGATTCTGCTTCCGGCGCACCAGGCTCTCGTAGAAACTCTTGGCTATTAATGTGTAAGCGGCCGGAATGCCTCCCGCCGGACCTTTGGCGCCCTGAAAGCCGTTCGCCTTAAATTAAAAAAATGTTAATGTTAAGGTCTGCATATCTACTCTTTAGATAACACAAACTCACATTGGGATGTGCCATTAGGATGCTGCATTGTGCCAAGCACTTGTGTGTTAGTGTGTCCATGTACTCTTGTGTGAGGTTAAAGTACCCAGTTGCCAGTTTCAGACGCGATCCTGTCACGCAATTAGATAGCAGCCGCTTGGTCACCACGCTGTCATGATGAATGCCAATCTGACCCATCTCCAGCAGCGGGAAAACCCAAGTATCAGCCTGTGGGTTCTGATCACGTGTTAGCGACTGCCTTTGAAACGTTTCCTGCAGGAAATCCGCGATGCGTTTACGGGCTTGTAGGATGAACTGCTCCTTGGTGCCTTCGTAAGGCAGAATGCGCCAGTTACGATGCAGTCCTTCGCTGGCATCCGGCGACACTGCTAAACTGAACTCTTGCACCCGTTCAATGAACTGGGCATAAAAGTCGGCCAGAGGCTTGTCCTCGATAAGGATGTAGCGATCTTGTCGGTTGGTGAAGTAGTCGTTGGACAAATTGGCGCCCGATATGATGACAGCATCGTCAAAGAGGTAGACCTTCATGTGCTGCAGACCGAGAAGCTCGTTCCATCGCGGCGGAGCTAGTCGCTTGGTCATTCCGCGTAGATCAGGAGTATGATAAAGGGATAGCTGCACCTGGCTGGCAAAGTCACGAACCAAGGGAAGCAACATGATTTTGGAATTTAAGGCTCCTCGGGTTCCGCGCGTAAAGTCCAGAAGCACATTAAGCCGCAGGGCAGACTGCTGTTCCAGGCTGTGACGCAACTTCTGAACAACGGCGTTCTCCAGCTGCCCTGTGCCCAGGTATAAGCTTGCAAGGACTATCCGACGCTTGGCTGTTCCGATGCGCTGCACTAGTGTCTCGTAGAAATGTTGTGGCTCGTGGATGACCTGGATTTGGTCGCCTCGCAGCGGGAAGCACGGCGCCAGGTTGTGTAACCAGCTAAGGCTCTCCAGGACAGGAGCTCCAGGGAATCCACTGGCAAAGAGGCTGGGAGCCTGCTGCAGGCAGCCGATAAAGTCGCCTTGGGCGGCTGGAGATAACTCCTGGGTGAAAAAGCGACGGAGGTAGAGCATCATGATGGCAGGGAATACACGGCGGCTTGGCAAGTGGCTCCTCACTGTCAGCGGCGGTTTGGTGATATCAGCATCTGGCACATTGCTTAATGTAGATTCGGCGATATACGGAACTGACTTTCATTCATTGGTAGCGGCGTTATCACTATAGAACCCTAAATTTCAGCACGTAAATATATTCCAGGTGGAATCTTAGTGTTGCAAAGAGTGCTTGGTTTCGATTAATATATCGAAAAAAATAAGCATTCGAAATTATGGCATTTTGGTATTTATTTATGCGGTTTTAAAATAAATTGCATTAATAAATTTGTGTAACAATAAACAAATAAGACAATAAAAAGCTTTAACTAAATTAAATAATGTATGTGCAATAATTGCCTGTAAAATATGGATATTTGCAAAATTTCCAGAAACACCGATTGTAAAAATATCGATTTTACATGAATTTTAGTTTCATCTCTAGTTCACATAGAAAAATAGACGCGCTGTTTTAAATGTATTTTTGAAATTGTAATTGTGCAATAAACAATATAATAGCACTAAATCGAGTATAAAAGGGTCTTTCCTTGCACCATAATTGTATAAATTTTGGCAACCGCGTAGAAAACGCGCTCTGACCCACGGAAATCTAGGAGATATGGATAACACCGATGCGACTTCGCTATCGGATGCCCATATTGATTATAAAACCCCCAAGAAGACCCACTCGCTGATCGACAGTGAGCAGTTGCTGGACAAGATCAACATCCTTACCACCAAACCAGAGAATCACTCTCAAAATGCTAAGGTAAGCTGAGATATTACAGGACTTACGGGTACCACACGTGGACGGTTTACAGTTAGCCACAGTTTCTGCTGATGGAAATTTCAAATGTTGCAAAAAAAATTAAGTTAGTTTTCAGTTTAAGGATAATATAAATAGCGTAAAATATAAATTTTTAGTGAAAAAAAAAAAAAAAGGCAATAATAATTACTTGAAATGGAAATTTAAATACCGAAATAAAAATAATTTTACAGTTCTTTATAATCTGTTTTTCACGATTCTTTCCTTCGCTACATTTTCATTTGCTTGGTATTTTCACAGTAAAAATGCAATATTAAATATTTTTTAAAATTATATTCAGACACTAGATTAACATATTATTAAAAAATTCCAAGTGAGTTACAGTTATATATTCATACTGATTTTTCTGTCCTTGTAATTTTTTTAATTATGGGATTTTATATATATGTACATTTATTCTATAGTGGCTTTAATTGTTTCTCATATCGCCTTACTCTCTTCAGCTTCCCACGATCAAGGATTTCGTTATCATCAAGCCTATTAGTCGCGGAGCCTTCGGAAAGGTGTTTCTGGGCTACAAAAACAACGACTCGAAGAAGTTGTTCGCCATTAAGGTGATGCGCAAGTCAGAGATGATCAACAAGAACATGGTGTCCCAGGTGATCACGGAGCGAAATGCTCTAGCTTTATCCCGGTCGCAATTCTGCGTTAGTCTTTTCTACTCGTTGCAATCACTTTCCTACGTATACCTGGTGATGGAGTACATGGTGGGCGGAGATCTCAAGTCACTGTTGGCTATGTTTGGGTATTTTGACGAGCCCACTTCACGCTTTTATGTTGCCGAGATGGTGATGGCATTACAGTATCTGCATCAGCACGGAATCGTTCACAGGGATATCAAACCGGACAACATGCTCCTATCGGCCAGTGGCCATGTTAAGCTTACTGACTTTGGGCTAAGCAAAATCGACATGCGAAGAGATCTGGAGATATCGGACCTTATTAACTGCTCTCCGAATTTGAACGCCCGCACACCGGGTCAACTTTTGTCGCTCACCTCGCACTTGTCCTTTGGCTCCGAGAAGAAGCTTCAGGACTTCGGTTCCATCACAAATGGACAAGCCAATGGAATGGGATCTGTGGCCACGGGTACATCCCACCTGCTGCAGGCCATCAACAAGCATAGTCTGATTATGGAGCTATCGGACAGCGAGGGCGACACTTCATTGAATGATGCGGAGAAGACGAGCGACAGCAAGATCTCCGGAGTATCTCCCTTCTTCTCGGCCGAGGAGGGAAATGAATCTATCACCCATACTTGCACCGCCAACATAAATGTGGGTAGACAAAAAATAATAGCCGTCATAGTAGGTTGAATTACACTTTGTTCCAAGATCGTATGCCATCTAAATATTAACCGATTACATCGTAAGGGTTAAGTTGCCCTGCAGTTTTAAACTAATCGTGCTCTATTTTTTCAGCCCCAGGACAGTAGCTCTTCTTGCTCGTTCCATACTTGCAACTCGGCAGACCTAAGCAAGTGCTCGCCTCCAATTGAGCCTACTGGAGATTCTGGAGCGGGGGCTATCCCCAGCAAGCGACGAGTTGAATTCGCCCTAGATGTGGCCCCTTGCCAGGTAAGTGGCTAAAGCTGGACCTAATGCCAGTAAATTCTATAATCTATGACTCTCTGAAAGGGCTGCAAGCTGGCCGAGCAGGATATCGAAAACGTGGCCACCAATGGGGGCAAACATCTGCCCAAGATGGACAACGCAAGCGAGGCTTCGTTTGAGTTTTCCATGGTGCGTAGGCGATCGGTCGACGAGGTGCGTTGGCATATGCATACTGTGTGACTGTCTATTGTCTTGTTTTTTTTCTGTATTTAATTGCTACATTTTTGTTAATCTTGCATTTTAGCATTAATCTTACAAATAACGAAGATTAAGTGTTTTTTTCCTATGTTAGTAAATATATCAATAATTTGTCTGATTTCATTTTCTTAGCGTAATCGCATCTCGAAGGGACAGGAAGACTCGGGCGTGTCGAGTCGCAAAGGTGACGATTACTCCAGCTGCAATCTGAATCTAAACAGTGAAAGCACGGCCTCGTCGATTGAGAAGAATGGTGAAAATCTGAGCCAATCTAAGGAGGATTTTAGCTGCTCAGACTACTCGCGCAGCTACAACATGACCAACGGCAACGAGATGAGCGGAATTCACATGAACTCGCCGTTTCGCAATTTGTCCAAGCACTTCAAGCGTCCCGACTTTCTGCGCGGCATGAAGCGGAAGATCAACCTGGTCAACCGTTCCGACAACATGTCCAGTATGGAGGCCGATGGCTCCAGTTCGGGTAACGGCAGTGCTAACACCGGACTAACCCAGGAAATCGAGATACTCAACATTGGCAGTAGCACGCCCAAAAAACGCAAGGCCCGGTCATCTCCTATCCGTGGTGTGCTCAAGGTGCGCTCTTTATCTGACGACGAGTTACCCATGAACCATCTGCTTGGACCGGAAGCAAATATGGCCAATGTGGTGTTTTCCACACCCGTTTCCTCGCAGAAGTTGCCCCGTCGAGATGGAGGTCTGCTGGGAAAGCTAAAGGCAACTCGGTTTGCCCTGCCATTGTCCATTGAAAATAAGAAGCGTGAGCATGCTGCCGCCGATAAGATGTCGGGGATCCAGTACCATTTAAAGCTTTCCGATGATCCTACTATGTCTCCTATTAACCATGGAGCGGGCAACTTGCCAAAAACACCGAAAAATGTAAACATTAATACTCCATTTCGCACGCCAAAGTCAGTGCGGCGGGGGGCACGCGTATCCAACGAACGCATTTTGGGCACGCCCGATTACCTGGCTCCGGAGCTACTGCTGAAGCAAGGTCACGGTCCGGCCGTTGACTGGTGGGCATTGGGAGTATGCTTCTATGAGTTCATGACCGGTATTCCTCCCTTCAACGACGAGACGCCTCAAAAAGTATTTGACAACATTCTGAATAAAAGTAAGTTTTTTAATTTAATTTTTCGTTTACGGATTATGCTAATTCGTTTCTGATCAATTTCTTTCAGATATTGAATGGCCAGAGGGCGATGAGGCACTATCCGTCGATTCCATGGAGGCTGTGGAACTGCTTCTGACTATGGACCCAAATGAGCGCCCGGCTGCCAAGGAGGTGCAGCAGATGCGTCATTTCGCATGCATTGACTGGGAGAATATAGGCAATACAGAGCCGCCGTTTGTGCCGACACCCGATAATCCCACAGACACGGGCTATTTCGATGCGCGCAACAATCTTCAACACTTGCAGCTGTCGAATTTTGCCGTAGAAGACTGAGAGCCCAAGCGGAGCCCGGCTGCCTCCGTTTCAGCTCGATCATAACGAGCACTGTCCTATCGTTATTTATATTTTCACATAGCAATACCTAAGAGTAGACCTTTAATGTTCTCTTGTTATCGTTCGTCTAGCCCTACGTATTTATATTTAGTTAAAAGTTTATTCGATTGTAATATTAAATTTCTTGTACATTCATTCGATTGTTGCTGTCAAGATTCTCGATGATCCTGTTCAGCTTAAAATTTATATAAATGTACTGATTTCATGTTTGTTATTGTAACTACGCTTAAACGAATAGCTTCAAGTATGCACCTTCGATATATGTATATCCAATAAAGTTATAGTCTAAAAGATGAAAAATCTAAATATATTTCTTTGCACTTTCGAAAATTGCAACAATTTTATCACTTTATTTACCCTTAACCTAGTTAGATGATATATAACACCTGGAAAATAACACAACTGGCTGTTAGGCTGTTTAGAATTGGTCGCTTGATCGGTAAGCTACGTGGCCATCAACTTAAAGTCAAAGTCCCAGACCTCTGGAATGGTTGTCAGGTAGCTCTGGTCATAGAAGATGCTTATCAATCGGCAGACCATATGAGGAACGGCCCGGATATCGGGAATTGTATGTTCCTTGAGCAAGTTGACTGCTCGAACGATCAGGGCCTTGATGTCGGTGAACTTCTTGTTTGCTAGCAGCATAGAGAGTTCGCGCAGCGCGCTCTCGTATTCCTCTGATGGCAAACGTAGGTCTAGACTAGCGGGGAAAAGCGAGAAGATAACGCAGGCCAAACAACGTGTCAACACTTTCCTCCTGAAGATTAAATACATATATATATATATAAATAAAATATACATTACAATTATTAGTTACCTGTTGGTAATAACCTCCGATTTTAGACCAATCACGCCTAACAGACCATCGCTCCAACCCTCGGCTTTTGTTGATGCAATCTGTAAGTGCCTGGCCAGCATGTGAAGTGGCTTTTTCACCTGATGGTTGGTCTGCGCAATCTTGCACCCACGCGCAATTACTACGCCCCAGACTAGGGCTATTTGTGGTTCAGTCAGTGGGCTGGTTTTCAAATTTTCCAGCAGCTGACTGAGGTCCTGCAAAAAGGTAACCTTGTCGCCATCCTTTACAATCTCCTCCATCTTGTAGACCACGAAAACGTGCAGTGAGAAGAAGTAGCTACCCTGCATGATCGGCATCAAATCCAGTTTTGGCAGCGACATACTCAGGGCTTCCATTAATCCTTGCCAACTGGGAGCATGACAGGGAGCACCTTCCGACGAGATGCGGAAGTAGTTCTCTATGCTGGCCTCCAATAGTGCATAAATGCTGGTGATGTATGTGTTTAGGTGGCCGATAGCCGCCAGTGTGGAGCACATGACCAAGTTGCCCGGCGCACACCGCTGTTGCCACCAAACGAGAGCTTTGATGTGTATGCTGAAAAAAATTATTGGTTAGTGCTTTTTATAAAATTAAAATAAAAATCATATTTACTTAGACACTTCCTGGCTCTGAGTCTGAGTGGGTGCAACTAGCTCTAGCATTAGGTTGAGCGCTTCCCTTCGCTGTTCCTCGGGAGTACGATGCTCACTGCAGCTGCTTATGGCCCGATCGATGCTATTCAATAGCTCTAAAAAGGCGTCACTAAAGGCACGCTCTCCCTCCTTAGTGGCTAGAAGCTTCTTGTGTTTGGCTCCACAAGCGCGCTGCATGCGGACCATAGATCGAGTGTAAAGCATTCTCTTGGCGGTACCCAAGACGATGGCATCGTGAGCAGACCGATCCGGCAACATGGCACAGGCCAAGCGAAGAAGACTGTCAGTAAGAAAAAAAAAAGGAAATATAAATTAAATTTATGTATCAATCACTTTTACTTACTCAAAAACAGCGCGATCCGCGTAGTTCGTCTCAGTTGGAAGCTTTAGGGCAATGGCTGGCTCCACGCTGGCCACGAACCACTTGAGGATCTGTTCCAGCTCGCTATATTCCACTAGGTGCCATGGGTACTGAATGGCATCTTCTAGAATTTTACTTGTATTGGGATGAATGTGAATATTTGGTTCAAAGGCTATCTTGACGAAGATCCCAAAAAGTCGAGACAGAATGGGAACCGGATGTGGCATTTGGGCGAACCAAAGGTTCCAATCAATCCGAATGAATATGTGACCCAACATTGCGTGTGATTCCGGCAGGAATTTTTGCAGACTATCGTAAAGAAGTTCCACATGTTGTGCCGGCGGCAGAAAACGTTCCCACGGCAATTGAGCCAATCCCTCGTGAATAGGCGCCAAGACGTGGCCCGCCATGTTAGGCTGGGCAAAGTGGTGAACATACCAGGCGAATACGTGCTCTAGGATCTTGTTCGACGACGGCAGATATTGCAGCACTTGCAGTATTGTAGCTACGAATGAACGAATCATCTGTTTGCTACTGCTAACATGCTGCTCGCTCCATGGCAAGAGCACTTTGCTCTGTCCGGGAGTCAGCTGGCGAATCCAGTGGGCCACGCCATTGACTGTCTCTTCGGTATAGGGTATCAGCCAGGGCCCGTAGGTCTCTACAATGGATCCGAACACAATGTCGCTGACTAAAAAAAAGAAGATATATTTAAATTAAAATTTAATTTAAGTATATAAATCAATCAGAGGACTTACTCTGATCACCTAATAGCTCCTGGTAGCTGCAAATGGCCGAGGCTAGAAGTGTATGACCGAAACAGGTGAACCATAGGACCAGCGGCTGACAATAATCCTTGTGTTTGGGATACAATCCATGAAGTCCATGATGGAGTCTCTCCTTCTGGAAATGACGGGACAAGAGCAAAAGAGTGTCTGTTGCTGCTTTAAGGGTGAATAACTTCTGACATCGGGCAAAGTCCAAGGCGATTTCATGGACCCGTACTTCGGATTGCTCCGAAGACAACTCTGCACAGTTGGATCGAACTAACAAAGCGTTCAGCAGGTCTAGAAGAACCACTGGCATCAGCTTTTGGTCCGACGTGCGGTCCAGAACGAGCTGCATAACCTCGCCGTAGTGCTGCGGGAAATCGTATCCGAAAATGTGCACTAGATGCCTACGGAACTGATCTTGAAGAAGGCTGCTATCGGGCTGAGACCACGCTTCTAGACCCTGCAAAACCAAGATCAGTAGACGGTTGATCTCGCTCAACTTTGGTTGATAGGTCTCCATCCACCCCAATAGGTCGAATTTTGAAAAAAGCACGAACAAAGTCTGTGTGTCGCAGCGTTTGAGATGAGAGTCAATAAGGAACTCGTACATGGGTATGAAGTGCTCCACATCAGTGCGGCTGGGCACAAAGACTGCAGCTAACAGCTCCAAAAGATCAGGACGCTTGAGGGCCAGACGAAGCACATCCAATCCTTGGGCAGCCTGATCCGCTTGGAGGAACACCTAAGAAAGAAATATCATGAAATGTAGAAGTTATAATTTTTATATTACTATGGTTTGTATTCACCCCAAGCTTCTCTAGCACCTGGAAGTACAGGTCATGTGTTGGCTGGAATTTCATTGTCACCTCGTTGAGGTTCTCTACCAGGTGGTAAAACACTTTCACTCCAATCTGTGTGACTCTGGATTCCATAGGGGCAACAAGAAGGGCACCAATACAGACGCCAAACTCTTCGATGGCTTCAGCAAAACCATCCACATTCATGGCCAACAATATATCCTCAACAATTTTATCATGGCGCTCACGATTCTGCGTTTGCTTGCGGGATATAACCTCGTTGATTCGTATATGCTCCGGCGTCAGTTTGATACTCGCAGGGGCCGTACAGCTCCGCTTGAAGAGCAAGGATGTGCACTCCTTTCGCCTGGTCTCTTCGTAGGGAATCATTTGATACAGAGCTGGCACACTTTCCAAATAGTTTAGATTTAGTGAATTCAATTCCGATGTCTTATAATGGTAGTTGCTAAAAAGTAAATCTGATATCAATGTACAACATTAGTATAAAAAAAACTATAAAACGTACTTTGCCGTTGAGTTGAATGTGTTCAATTTCTTTTTAAGCTGCGTCATAATATTTTCATCTATTGGCGGCGTTTCAATGGGTTCCACACGAACATGAATCGGATTTTTAACAATCTTCTCATAGCTATTTAGTAAACTCTTAATATGTTGAGCAGGTTGCTGTCGCGGCTTTGGTTGTACCGGAGTTCTAGGAGCTTTTTGGTTAGGAAGTCTCATCACTTTTCTTGCCCATTGATCAGCTTGATGTCGTTGCTCCTTGCGCAGCGACGCCAGGCACAGGAATTCCGTCCAGTGGTTGACATGACCACTCAACAGCTCACGCAGCTTCTCCGAATTATACTGGGCCGGTAGATGCTCGGCGTCGCTGGTGAAGCGATTAATTTGAGTATCCTCCAGCCAAAGAGCACAGTTTTGCATCAGCTTGCGGCAGCTGCGATAGAAGTGGGCCATGGCATCGTCATTTGCGCACTTGGTTGCCAAAGCGGAGTAGTATGACTCGGCAGATTTCAATTGGGATTTAATACTCTTCATTAAAGGCACATTGTATTCGTAAAACTTGTCAGAAACCCCAAAGTTGTGACTGAAATTAAGCGATTCGTTTTCTGTTGGTACTCGCCAGAGATATAGTTCGAAAAACTTCTGACAGACGATTGGAAACAAAGCGTGATTGCTGTCCATGCTGGCCAGCAGTTGGGCATATTTAAATATTACCAATTGGCTGGCGGGAAAGGCGTTAGCTTTGCTTAAGGAGATGGTTTTTTTTAGAGCTGTCTCCACGGGCTGAGCGGAAATTTGTCGCAAGAGCTCTGGAAAGATGCGTGTGTCCACCATACGAAACTCAATCTCAAGTATAACCAAATTCAGCCAGCAGTTTTGGGGCGAAATCAAAGGGATTCGAGAAGGAGATTGTCCGCCGAAAAAGGCCTTCAAAGCAGATCCCTTGGGCGCTCCTTTCCAATCTGTACAGTCCTGTGGAGTTTAAATAACAATCAAAATCATAATAAGGGACTATTCTAAATAGGATATGCATTCTTGAATTGCATACTTACCTTATAATAATTGTAGAAGAATTCAACAGCCTGGGCGCGACAGTCCGGAAACTGGTAGGAAATTCGCAGCATTCTGTCGAGCAGATAAAGAAGATTCGAGTTCTGGGACCAACCTGGCAGTGTGGTGAAGCAATTCAGCCAGATGTTGAGAAGGTTAAGCGGTGAACAAAGACCATAACTATCATACAAACCAAGAAACGTTAGTAAATAAAGTATCTGGTAAATATAATTAAAGTTTACTTTGTATACGAGACAATCTGATGATGCAACATGTTGTCGAATAGTTCTAAGATAGGTCCAATAGAATTGGCATATACCATGTCCTTAGCCAGCTTTAAATAAGTTCTATCGGCATTCAAAAGAGTGATCAAAAGTCTCTGAAAACTATAAATGAAATAAGTTATATTATGTTCCAAAATATTTAAAATCAATATTTTACCTTTCACAATTGGCCAGAGTTTCCGGAGTTTCCAAAAACAATGGAACAATCAGCTCCAGGCAGCGAATTGTGGCTGCATGTCGGTGATCCAGGAGTAGTTGCTGAAGAAGGTTAAATCCGTGCTGGCAAATCACTGGAATGGAGTGGCCATGCAGGCTGACAAGCATGCCAACATAAAGAGCCAACGGGCGATTCTCGTTTACGCCCTGATAGATTATCTCCATTCGCTCGAGTTCGGGAATAAAGAGAAGCGGTTCCGTAGGATGTTGAAGCGTTCGTTTCACAGACTCCACGCCTTGATCCATTAAATGTAGGCGCAGCACAGAGACCATCCGCCAGCACCAGTTAGTGAACTTTTCTCGACTCGATTGTGTAGAATCTATTAACGAAGAAACCTGACGTACGCTTTCAGAAATACCCGAGGCTCCGATAACCTCAGGGGCGTACTTGTTAAGGGCCTCATTCACCAGGTGAGCCATTCTAACATGTATGTTGTGGGGCAAGAAAAGACGTCCTTCGCAGTCCAAACCCCAGTTCAAGTGACCGATGATTAAGCGCGCTAAATGATTCTCCGAAGATTGGTAATCAAAATGAAGAAGCCAATTTGACAGCACCTCAAAGCTATCCATGCTAGGATGCCAGTTTTCCAATGGTAGAGCCTTGAAAAGATACGCCGCTTGATCAACTTCTCCGTATCGCATCTTTAGTTGTACCAGTAGGCAACCAAACAGATCCTCATCCATCAAGTTTGCCAGCATATCTCGTGCTGTTTTATAGCAAATTTCCCGAGTGGACTGGTGTATGTATCCAATGTAAAAGATGTGCAGGCAAATGGCCTTGACAAGGGCTCCATCCTTAGATCGATTCCGATCGTTAGCCATTTCAAAAAAGGTCTGCAACAAATAGTACATGTCCTCCGGCGCTACATCGGCATTCGCCAGATCAAATTTCCTCCAGAAATCTTCCGCTTGAAATGCAGCCTCGGCATTGGTCACTAGATCGTTGGTCAAATCCGTGGGGAAACCGACATTCAAGTAGTAAAACAAGTGCCAGATTACCTCTGCATCCAAGGTGCCAAATGGCAAAGTGGAAAAGTATTGCCAGGTGCCAAGGTTTCGAGTGCGGTAGATGTACCCACAAGCGCGTAAGAGTAAAGCGTGTAGTTCTACTTGGATGCGCTCATACATTTCCGGTGATTTGGAAAGGTTGTTTTTTCTGGAAAATGGGTTTTTATAATAGATATGACTTATTTTTATTGATATTATACTTACATGAATAATTCGTTGTAATCAAAGACGTATTGCAGGGTGTGTCGCACCAAACGACCAAGACGTTTTGCCAGCTGCTTATATCGCTCGTTGTTGTAGGTTAACAATCCCTCGCCCATTGTTTTAACTAATTGGGAAAAGAACACAACTACGGCGAGCATTTGCTGGGCAGTGATCATATCTGGCTCGAGAATATAGTCGTCCAGAAATTTTTCAATGCGCATGGCAGAGCTGAAAGTAACAGTATTTACAATATAATTATACTGATTACATTCTTTAACTTACCTAAAGATCTTCTCAAAGGGCAATTGGTTAAGTAGTGCGATTAGATCGCTTTCCTTCAAACCAATGCATTCGCCGGCTGGTGTATGCGAGTCCTCGCCATCGGAATCCACTACTATCCAGCGATCTGTCGCTGGCGCAGCACCTGAAAGTTCTTGATGCGATTGCGCCTGACTCTTGAGATACTCATTTCGCTTATTGACGGGCATCAGAAGAATCTGAAGAACAGCCATACAGTGGTTAAGTTGGGGAGAGTTTAGGTCCAGTGGAAGATCGTTTTGCTGGGAAACCGCTACCCATTGTTACTGTTCCAGGCAACTGTATAAATTGTGCGGCCCAGGAACCGACACCATTGGGGCAGCGCAAGATGTTAAACAGCAGGAACCAATGATCCTCTCTGGTGGCCAACAAAAGCTGCAGAGCAATTAGTTTGCGCAGCCATTCTTTAAGGTCCTTGTCGAAATTCTGGAAGAATAATAGTTAATAAGTAAATAAAGGATTTAAATGGCTGCATTTCTTAAAATTTTATTTTATTACCGCATTTGGACTTGGCCTGCGAATGAAGCTGAAAAGTATGGAGATGGCGCGCCTTAGTTGAGAAACGCATTCCAAAGCCTGCCCAGAATGTGAGTAGTTCAATGAGATCACCGATTGACTATCTGCATTCGGATATGAAAGCATCTCGTTTATGATTTGGTCCACCTTAACTTTGGTAATTTTCGCTGTAATTAGGTTGTTGGTGTAAGTGTGACAGACTAGGTCATATAGGCCCGTCAAGGCTGTTTGGGCCACTTCTAGTTTAATTGGATCCACCTTGATTATACTAAAGAAGGAGTATAATGTATTGGGCATTCTGTTAAAAAAACTGCAGGAATACTAACTCGTAGGTTACGCTTTCCTGTACGACATTTCCATCTCCACAGGTTGCACTAAAAGTTCGTGTCACAGGCTGCCGTACCCAGATTTGCTTCTGTGACTCCGTGCACCCTTTCCGAAAGTTCTCCACATCGTGCAAATTGGAAGTAATTTTTCCCTGTAGTTCGTAATATTCCATTAGAGCAGCATATAGAGGATCGGATTCGCTTGACTCGAGCAGAGAGTTCATGAGAAACTCCAGCTCAAATTGCTTGGCCAGCTCTAGATCGGGGCAATCGTAAATTTGCCGAAGTTGTTGTGTGCTCAGTGGTTTAATGTGACTTCTGGCCAGGGCAAAACCGGTGGGGGACTCTACCTGACGGTACACAATCTTTGCGGAGGACTCCTCTACTTGTGCGTTAGACAGTTGCATGGGCTGCAAATTGGGATACTGAACGATGTGGGGAACGGTCGTTGAGTGTGGTGCACTTGGGGCACTGGGTTGGGCTTCCGTTTCTGTGGTTTCCTCGATAACTGACTCCACCGGCGATTCGTGAACATCACTGGATATGCTGCATGCATGGCTAACGATTGCCTCCCCACTCGAATTGCTGGCCAAGGCCGCAACGCGTTCAAACTCCTCCAACAGCGAAACATTTTCCGTACGTCTTTGTTCTTCACTTGTTGATAACTCAGCATGTTCCTCTTCCTCTTTTCGGGTCTGCCCTGTGTTTCGAGTTCTTTTGCTCTTCTGCAAATTCTTTATTGGGTTTCAAATGGTCATTTCGTTTATATCTCAAACTCACCTCCTTCTTGGGCTTCACTAGCGTGGCCATGATTCACTTTTGTTTTCTTAAGGCCCCTAGCTTTTTGCGTTTTATTTATGGGTTCTTTGGGGTTCGCAACACCGCCAAACAAAAGTCCCCATAAATATAATAGCGATGGGAGAAACAAAGAAACAGCTGAGAGTAGTCACGACCACTAGCTATTTATTAAATTATTACTATATTTTATTGCCATTGGAAAAATAAATGCAACTTTCTTCCTTATTTAATGAATAATTTTTGAATGGAATGAACGTGTATTTATTTCAGATTTGATTCATAAGATATATTCGATAGCTACGAATCGTGACTCACGCGACACACCTGTAGCCCTGCCTGAAAGTTTGTTATCGATATACGGACTGATGGGCATCACTAGCCAAGTTGAACCCGCGAAAAGTGCAAATCATAAAGTAAAATTCCATTTTTATGTAGTTTTTTTTTATAAAAATACGTTTATTTGTCTTTATTTATTGCACGCTGCCACGCACACACTCATGCGGTAAGTACATGCGAATGAAAATCGAGTTGCTACAAATGCGCGAGCAATTGCTCAACAAAAGTCGCGCACAGAAATCACAGCATCTTTATAGACGTGAAACACTTGGCTAACTAATTGGTCTATTCTAAGCCTTAGCTTACTGACTACAGACTAAGTGGTGGGGTTAACTATGTGTCTACCTAATAGTTAACCCTCAGAGCGCAGATCGGCCAGCAAGTTGACGATACACGCCCGTCTCGCCTTCGCCTGGAACAATGTCCAATTGGATCCTACTGCTGTCGCATATAGACTGCTGATCCGCGGATCCCTTTCCCTCCGATGTGGTGAACACCACGGCTATTGGACTACTCTTCTCTTTCTCCTCCGGCGAGGACTCGTACCCATGATTGACCTTCTCCTCCTTGCACGTCGTTGTCGTGGCAGAGGAATCGCTACTACTACGTCCATTCAAACCGGACTCCTCTTCGTGTTTAACGTAGTACGGTTTCCGGCCAGAGAAACGCTCACACAGTCGGAAGATTAAAGGATGCAGCAGCTTGCCGTCGTAAGCGTCATCGGGATGCTGGGTCAACAAACTGATCACTGTGCCGATGATCACGGTCAAAGCGGTTCCAATCAAACTGTAGTACATGAAGCTGATCGAGTAAAAGCTCTCCAGTCCGGATCTATATTGGGATTACATGTATTCGAGTTATTTATTTCGTTTTTAAAAGTTTTAATTCTTATTTTCTCACCTTTCAGGTGCAATGGTGGGTGGCGTAGGAACAAAGCTCTGATTGTAACCATCAACAGGAGTGTGCGTCAATAGCCATGGCATTTGACCTGGTTCAATAATGGGCTTGCCAATGGATTGCGAGAAGGTATCATTAGAGCATGCCCTACAGAAAATAGGAAAACAAACATTAGAGATAGCTTATCTTCAATCAACTGTTTAGCTTACATCTGTGCTGGTGGGTAACATGGGATTGTGCTTGGTAATAGTCATTCCACCGCCGATAATCCATAGTACAAAGGCGCATGCGGTGACCATGCCGGCAGAAGTGCCTTTCCAATTGGCAATCGGAACCATCATGGCCAAGATAAAGCAGCCCAACAGAGGGCCGGAGGTAGCCGAGAACACCAGCAGCGAGGATTCAATGACACCCGCCAGCAAACCAACTCCAAATGCAACGCACATAATAATCAATCCGCAGACAACAGTGATCGTCTTCAGGATTCCCAACTGTTGTTTATCAGAAAGTCCTTTGAATTTAGGTAACTGTGATACGAAGTCCTCCCAAATAACAGTTGCCAAAGAGTTTAGATTAGAAACCATAATGCTGGAAAGTTAAATTGGATTAGATTAGAATAACTATCTACAAAAAGTTGTATTTACCAAAGAGCTCCATTGAAAAGAGTGGCCATGAAAATTCCCACAAAGCCGGGCAGGAAGCCAAGCTGATCTTCCACAAAGAAGGGAAGAATTTCATCGGGTTTCTTGATGTATCCTTCGGCATAAGGATCACAGTTGATGTACGTGGAGTAAATGACCATTCCGGAGATCCAGGAGAGCGAAAAAAAGAAGAACACCAAGGGCACGTTGGTCAGCATGACTCTGCAGGTTAAGTATTATTTTAATATTAATAGATTTTCGTTAATTGAATTTCAGATTATAGCTACTAACCGTCGGACCTGTTTCAGCGACTTAAGACTAACATAGCGCTGCATAAAGTTCTGTTGACAGCCAATCTGTGAGAGGGACATGAACAGTTGCCCCAGCCAAGCCGAGGTGGTATCCACTCTGACAGTCATATCGCCCGTGAAGTTCCAGAACTTGAGGCGTCCTGGGAATAGAAAGGATGTCTTTAGTGTGTCTTTAGTGCAAGTGCATGGCATGGAAAAGATTGAGCCGCCGGTAGAAGAGGAGAAGCAGCAGCAGCATGTGGAGGCATTCCCAGGAGCCCCACGATTGCCGCACAATGACAGCCAACAACTCAAACTCGAGTGACAAACGCTCCGCCGACGTACATTTATTACTGTCGTCATGCGAGGCTGCCATTTCCTCCCTCCTCTCGGATTCGGATGCCGCTGTTTTATGCCACTTTTATCATCATCATTTATGTGCATAATGAGCCGGCGAAGAAACAGAAGCGAAGCAACGCCAACCCACAATGGATGCCATTTTAATAGTCATCATTCGTCAGCACTATACACAACCACACACATGCACATCCTGGCAGCTGGCTAATAAGCTGCCATGATCAATCGAAACAAATCCCACACCAACTGATGGCTTACCATTGTCCCGATTTAGTTCGTAGACCTTCTTTACGCCGCCTGTAGAGATAGTTCCCTGGATGCAAACGGCCACAGTGACAACCAGGATGGTCAATGTTTGGATGACGTCCGCATTGATAGCTGCCTTTAGGCCGCCCTAATGAGTTGGAACAAGGATGAGTAACAAAGAATTTAAATATTTCCATCATTAAATCGTTGGCATTCTCGACCCCAACTTACCATAATGGTGAAGAATATGCAAATGATGGCCATGCCCACAATGGAGGCCCAGTAGGGTATGCCAATAACCGTCGAGAGGGCCACGCTGGGTGTGTAAACGGTGATGCCCAGGTTGCAGATCTGTCGAACAATGTACGTTGCCGATGCCAGGCATCTCACCGTGCGACTCTTAAACCTGGAAAATGAAAGGGATAAAGGAAAAGGATGAAAACCAGGGCAAAAGCAGGTAAGTACTGCAGTCTTTAATTAAGCAGCTCCTCCAGGTGCCACTTGCACTCTATTCGTTTATTTATTTTTATTAAACTTTTAATGTTTGTCCCCGCTTCTCGGATGGCGTTCCTTGCTTTTTTTTTATTTTCTACCCCCTTTTATGATTTACTACCGCTGTAAAGAAGTTATGTAGAATCGGGTGCGAGGGCGGGTTAAATTTACGACATGGACGAGAAAAACCTAAGAAAATTGGCGGGTCTGTAACTCGTTTTGATTGTTTTTATAGTTGAGCCGGGCTCGCTTTTTATGGGCTCGGTTGTAAAAATTTGTGTGTTAATTTGATGCGAAATGTGCGACAAGATGTGGGGGTCCACTGCCTATTGGGGTCCACCTAATGATCGTTTAGTATGCGTTATGTGGCCATGGGCGAATGTCTCAAGTGCCTTCGCACACGCATCGACCGGGTGTGGTCTTTAATAAATAAACTGCTTTACGTCCGTAATCCTTTGATTGCCATCCTGTTCTTTAAGCCACTATTTTGAAGTCATGAAGTTAACAGTCCTTTTCGGAACTATTAAATTGTTATAAAGACTGGAAAACCTTAAGGAAGCTTAAAGCATAAAAATGCCATAACACAAAATAGTATAAAGCCAATACGGTAAATTTATAACCCATTTCATCTCTTTCTTTCTTTTATTTTCACTAGTATCTCCAAACGAAAGTTCATTTGAATTTGGAATTTAGATTTCTGCATTTTGCTCTATTATTTAAGATTTAGTCTGAATTCTATTAAAATGGCATATGAACTTTAGTTTTGTTTTTTTAATAGGCAGTTAGTTCTGGGACGTTGTAAGTCTTCTACTTAAAGTTGAAGTTTTGCAATTCCAATTGAAGCTTCAATTTATCGACTACTAACCCTTAGATCTTTGCCCTGGATTGTGTGTTGTAATCACAAGTAATTTCTTGTTGAACATCTGGGCTGACTGCATAATCCACTTTTCCCAACCCCAACTCCGCTCCATTTCCCTCAAATTCTCCGTCTGCCCATCTTTGCTTGTCATTCGGTGTCTCTGCATTGGTCTACGTGTGTGAGATGGCCCACTAAATGATTAATTGCCCTTGGCCAATATTGATCTGAGACGAGTTGGGCCTGTCAACGGGCCTTGTCTTGGCTGAGGCCGTTGGGTATGGTACATGGGGAATGAGGCATGTGGAGCATGGGACATGAGCGATTGGAGAGACGCAGGTGTGCGGCAAGAGGATTAAATGCATATTTAGATGAAGGAAAGAGATGCAGTGGATTTCATCTTTAATCGCCTTAATGTTCTGGTTATTATAAAACCAAGCCGCAGGCTTCTGCAAACGAAACCCCTTTACTGTGTATTAATTAATGATGTTGCACTTTTCCACCCATAGGTAAACATCAATTGACATATGAAGGAATGGGCCATGCCCCTAGGCTAGCTTTGCTTTAAGCGGGCTTAACATATTTACCCGATCGACTTTACATTGTTGGGCTGGGGTTTAAGCGGTTTACATGACAACGCGTCGTATGCTTGATACACATTTTAATTGCGACACAGCTGTGTCTGTGGGCTGGGGGAAAACAATCGGAAAATCCCGCAAGAGGAAAACTCCAGGCCAGCCATAAAGGCCTAGCCAATTTGGCCAAGGACATATACGTATGTATATACATACTCGGATATGACAGTTGCTCTCTCATATGTGTTGATTGAATGGGCGTGGCGCTGGGTGGGATTTCGGTACGTTTCGGTTTGCTTGGTTGGTCAAACATTTATTTAGGCAGGCATGCGATGACCTCTTTGCGTCTCATCTATTTCGTGTTCTTTGGTTTTTCTTGTTTTTCCCAAGGACTGAGCTTGTTGTGGAAATTGATAAAGAAATATTATTGTAGGATACAATATCCCACAGCACACACACACAGACACAAACATATATACATATTGTTGCTTGCGGTCAATTTTAGCCTGATATGTCAATTTAATATGATTTATGGGATTTATTGTTTTCGGTTGCCTTTCATTTCGTCTTCTACTTCGGTCGGTCGGTCGCTTGCTCGGCGAGTGTTTTTCTACGTTGTCTGATTGTGGCATTTGTTTCTCATTTAGCCTGTTAACATTGTGTTCATCACAATAAGTGCTCGGCCAGTTGTCCTGGCTTACGATTTGCCCGGCTGTCTGACTGTCTCACTGTCATTTCATCTCCATCACACTTTGGCTGTTTGTATTCGGCTGTGTGTGTGAGTAATGACCTGAGGCTGTCACCGCCGTCCAGTTGATTGAACGTTGTGCTGGGTCCTGGCTTTTGTTTTAGTTTAATTGATTTAACCAGCCAGCGAATCTTCATCGCTTCCATTTCCCTCTCGCCTTCCTTTTAGCCGGCATAATTTACTTGGTTGAGTTGATTAAAGACGCCCTGCGATGCGATTGTCGCTTAATAACTTTAAATGAAATGTAAGTGCCGCAAAGTATGCAATAATTGCTGCAGCCATGCCAGCGGGCAAGCAATTACCAGCAAGGACACTTGCAGCTCCCGGCAACCATCTGCACACACACAATCACCCACTGCCACACCCTCCGGTAACCCACTCAGCCATCAGGCAGGACAACGTCAATGACCACCATCATCTGTGGAGTAAGGTGGGTGGTGTGAAAATGGGTTGTTACCAGCGAATGAGCAGGTCAGCAGGCGTGGGCATTGGCCCATTGGCCCAGTGGCCCATCCATTAATTGAACCCTGGCCCTACCGGGGATTCACTTTCCACCAAACACCCTCTTTGAAATTGAGTTTAGTCTGCAACTCGGACCCATCATTTATCATGGCAAGCCGCTAAGCCAGTTTTTGGCCAGGCGACAAAGGCATAAATTAATGGCAAATTTAATATGACGAGTGGTTTTGTACAATGGCCACATAATCGCCGTTCAGCCAGCCAATCCCAACCCAATCCTCCTTGGTTAGAATGGGTCCCTTGAGAGGGTCGAGTTAATTTTACAATCAAAGGCAATCTAAGCAAAGGTGAAACAGGCAACAAGGGTGACACATTTGATTGCATTAAATGTCATGCATAAATAAACATAATCACCCATATGAAGTCGGTGTCCTGAGTGCCTTCACTGCGTTAAAAGCCGCCCACAAAGAAAGGTGGGAAAAAATGTGGAATCAAAGGTGAAAGGTTTCGGTTGATTTAATCGACTTCTGGGTACCCAAAAGGGAATACATTTGATTTTTACAAAGAGATTAAGTTATTTTTAAGGCGAATCCTGAATGGTTTTTTCAAGACAAAGTGCTATCAATTTCCTTTTTGAGATATTGATATTCTTGGAATTTAATAAATTGATATGTTATTTTAAAGTTTATTTATTGCTTTTTGAAGTTGGATGTTGCAGCAATAATTTTATCATTTTAATTGGTCTTTTTTTATTATTTTTCATGTCTATAAAATACTTTGCTAAATTAACTGAATCATTTTAATTGCACCATGAAAATAATGTTCATTTGTCAGATTAACATGGATTGTGCCCTTACTGGATTTCAATCAGTAATGTCAGAGTGGATTAAATGGTTTATTAACTGTTTTTTTTCCTGCCAGAAAAGTAAAAAAGTTGATACCAACCTATCTTGGTCCCAATATCCCCAATTTGTTTCTTTTTTCCCGTAAAGGGCATGTGTGTTACTGCCAAACAACTTTGTTGCCTTTGAATTGCAAATCACGGCCTCACTTTGTAGCGCCGAAAACGTCTTTATTTATGCGTATGCATGTCCTCCTAAAACACCCCCAGCAGTACTCCTTCATACCTCTCACACCTAGTTTTTTTCCATTTGGTTGTCATTCACTCAGGAGGAGCACTTTGGGCCCCGTTGTACTCGTAAATAAACCATGGAGGAAGTCGGAATGCATTTTTTCCATTTGCTAAGTGCCAACAACTGTTCGCATTGATCTCTCCAGCTTTTCTGGCAACCCAAAGCTTGATATCAATTTATTTACATGTAATTGCCACCCCAAAATCACCGGCTATATGAATTATACGGAGGGACGAACAAGGAACAATGCCGAACTTTACTTGACCATTGAACTCAATGGCTGGCCAGATAGCAAATCTCTGTGTGAGCTGGCTAACACTTGAGTTGGCATCGAGTCAAGGGTCATGCCCCTTACCAATCCAACCAAGTTCATCCCACTTCTCCACAGATTTGAGTGGCAGACATCACTTGCGACAGGCGACTGACAAGTGAGAGAATCCACGACTTTTGGCTATATGTTCGTGTGAGTTTGAGTGTGTGTGTGTGCTTGGGATGTCTTGGTTTTTTGTTTCGCAAGTTTTTTGGGGTGTGGAGATGAAATCCTGGGGCTTGGTGCTTGATGCTTGATGCCTGATGCCAGTGACAGGCAACAACACGCGCTATTTATAAACATTATGGCACAAACGAATTGTCATACAATTTGTCAACAGCCTCAGACCGAGTGGCTTCTTTGTTGTAGTCTCCTTTTTCTCTTTTGCCTTTCACTTGCTTTTTTTTGGGGTTTGATACCCGGTAATTTTGAGGTTCAAGGGTGTATTGTCTTGTTGTATAATACAGTAAGAAGTAACTATATTATATACTTCTTCTGTGATTTAAATGACCATTAAAATCAATAGGTAAAGACGACTAGAATCTCTGGCTTTTACCATAATCTCCAAGCACGAATGGGTATTATTCAGTCTAGCCACTCAACTATAGAATCTTTCATGTTTGGCATTGTCCTCGTGTTGCCAACGTCAAGGCTTTTGTCTTTCCTCATATATATTTTTTTCTGGCCTGAAACTTGCTTTATTTGGCCTGGTTGGATGTGTTTGGCCAAGTGGCTTTTGCCAATTTGTAGCATATTCACTTATCGGCCTCTGTGTGTTTGTGCCCCAGACCCCATTTCCATTTCCATTAGCATTTTCCCTTGCCCGTCCAGAGAAAGGCTCAGCCTATTTTGATGAAGTTGTATGCATAAACATGTCGCGGGGCGCCAGTTGCGATGACAAGCGACAATGAGGCATCCAAATGTTGTGCGCCCAACTTTTTGGGGCAACATTTGGCCATGTTGCTGCGCCTCCACAACCCTTTTTTTTAGGTGCTCTTTCTTGTTTTTCCTCTTGGCTGCCTTCTTTGGGAGCAAAGCCAATTGACTAAGATTGATGAAGTAGCTTGCCTCGTTGGCTCTTCAATTAGTTGGAGTGTTGCGTCCAAGCCGAGTAAAGTGAACATTTATAAAATGGGATTTTTTTTTTGGGAAAACTAACTTTATCAGTCATTGATGTGGTCATTAATTTAACTGTGTTTTAAAAGGCATAAAGCCATTTATTGAATTGCATAAATGATTTTACAAGTCATTAATTTATTTCAATTTTTTAAGAGTGCTTAGGGATCAATATTTGGAAATTTAACAAGTTTTTAAAACCATTAATATTTATTTAAAGCTTTAAAAGATGCTATAAATATATTTTAAATCCACTCAATACAATTTAAATATTGCCAAATCCTTTGGCTTAGTGAAATTAATCAGGGTAATAAAAACAAACTATGTACATTAGTCATCCATTGATTTTGTCATTAATTTCTCTTAAGACACCCAATGAGTTTGCCTTGTAGTTCAGTTTGTTTATGCTAATTTACAAATTACCTCCAGTTCTATGTGCAAACATTTAAATAATTTGTCAATTCTGCACAGCCTTCACTTTACTTAGTTTTTGGCAACGTCCAGTAGAGTTCCTCCTACCTCCCCCCCTCTGGAAAAACACCCTCGAAAATGTGCGGCACATGCCAATTAAATTTCAATCAAATTATGCTATGCCCAGCATGGCCACACCCCCTCAGTCGCTGTTTGCCTTGTCAGTTTTTGCAATTAATTGAATTCTGTTGTCGAAACTGCAAAACATTTGATAACAAATTTGTTAACTAATTTCGAACTTAAAAAACAATTAGGCCCACGAGGCGACAACTTGCGACAGATGGAAATGGTGAAGAAGGAAAAGGAGCAGCAGGAGTTGGAGGTGGGCACACAGACATGCTGACGACAACTGGACGATAGCATCCGAGAGAGAAAAGACCAAGACCAAGTCCGAGACCAAGACTAAGACCAAGTTGCTATCCTCGGCGGGGCAAGGACAAATCTATAGATTATTTGCTCTGCCGGCTTGGCTTTTGTTTGGCCATTTGTTAGCGGCTCATTGTTGTTGCCTCTGTTTGTTCGTTTCTCTTTTTCTTGCTGTTGTTGTGTAAAATGTAATTCAAATTTATTTAGCAACGCAGCAAAGTTGTGCGCCAGGAGCCAAAGTAGAACCTGGTCTCAACTGAGCCCTTGGCGCTCCTCTGTTTAGTTTCATTTGGCCTTCTTAATGAAGAATAAAATTGTGTGCGCTTCGGCGATAACAGAGAGAGGGAGAGGTCGACACAAAACCCATGGACAGCACAGTCGCTGTGTCGCATTTAGCGAAATTAAAATGAATGTTTAAATAACAATTTTCCTGTTGCCCGGTTCTTTGCATCGCTTCGCTTTCGTTCTAATTAAACGATGTGACACTTTGGGGAGTGACTTTTGACTTTGGACTTACCTCAGATCGATGTACTGATAGACGGATGTGATGCCCAGATTAAAGTAGACGGGCACAAACATGAAGCAGACGATGGGGTAGGCGCTCATCATGCCATAGATTATCTCCCACATGGCTGAACCGCGATAGTACAATTCACTGGGATATCCTAGAAAACATTATAAAGAGTTTAAATAAGGAACTACCAGCTTTAAAATAATAATTAAATCATGATTAAAAGGCGTTATTCTATTAGGGCGACTATACATATTTTTCGATTTACTTTTTAAATTATGGAGTATTGATATTAGCAGAATAAGAGTTTTAGCCCTTTAAGAACCCAAAAACTCACCCAGCACAGATCTCACTCCCAAAGTTCCTCGGGCTATAGAAATCATCACGGCTACGATCGAAACTCCGCCAGTGGCAAAAACATAATCGGCCTTGCTGCGCTCCTTCTTTTTGCCAAAAATGCGTTTCCACAACGGGCCCAAAACGGTGAGGGCTATAAACAGTACAAACATCAGATAATCCCAGCCCAGAGTGCTCAAGTCCTTGGCCATGTTTTTGCTGTTGCTGTTGTTGCTGCTTCTGCTGGAAATGAATGAAAAAAGGCAAGAAATGAAAATCAAAATTCAACTTGGTCACCGGCAAAAAAACAAACACAATCTTTTCAACTTTTAAGAGGGGGAGGGGAAGGCTTTTAGGTGAGATGTGAGCTGGATAAAACGTTTTCCAGCACAGTTGAGCATGTGCATGTTAGTCACGCCCGGTGGACATAATGCCAACTGAGAGCTCCGTGGCTCGGCGTCCCCGTTGTCGAGCAGGAAACTTGACAACATTGTTGCATATCCGCAGGCGAGTGGAGTGGGTGGTAAGGTAGTTGGGTATTGTGGTTGCTTGCACCCATCATAACACTTGCATTCTCAACTACCCTAACCTCCATCCACAAAACTCAACCTCTCTAGATAGGGCCAGGCCAAATGAGCGGCAAAAAGCGGGAACTACACAAAACTTACAGGGGGCAAAAAGGCCCCACAGAGAGACAATAAACTGGCAACTCTACGTTTAATTATAAAAATGATTTAAAATTGTGAAGTATAGTTTACTATATGAGGTTTCTAAACAAAAAAAAGGAAAGAGAAACCCATTTTTAAAATCTTAATATTATAAAAATATATCTTTCTTCGATAAATAATGCCCTATTTTATTTTTTTCCAGTGCACCCATGGAAAATGTGGCTCGTTGTTTGAATTTATGAACTTCGCCCCACTTGCTGACATCTGTATGCACGTCCCGCTATAAGGACATTCCACTGTACTTCAGTTTCTGTGAGCCATGAGTGGGTAAAATCAGCTGGAGGGGGAGAGAGAAGCTTAAGTGTGACTTTGGCGGCGACTTTGTGTTTTTATAGCTGAGCCAAGCTGTTGAGCTGCCCTGTGATTCTGGGTCGGGCTACAGGCTACCGAAAAGAAATGGCATAGCCCAGCTTAGGATTTTCTTCTTCACCTGAAGCTGTCGTAAAGAATACTTCTTGCTTTATGTGCTTGTTCCACAATCTGCCATTCCAAAGGGGGTGACAAAAAACAAGGAGAAAGTTGCGAAAGGGGAAGAATAATTGGAACTAATGTTTCATTAGTTTTTATGTTCAAGTTTGTCGTTCTTTATGTAACTGCTAGCTTTTGTACATGCATATTTATATTTTATAGGAAGTTGCCTAAACTCTTATAAATTCAAATTTCTAAAATATATCTGTCTTCATTGTCTTGTTTTCTTGAAATAGAAAGTTTTGTCAGAAATCAGCAAGTCATAAAAAGTGTTCTTCGTTTCCAAGAAATTTCGATTGTACATAACATTTGATTGAAATTAATTGACAATCCGATTGATAGTATTGACTTTTGTATGTTAAATGTATTTACATTTCTCTAGAAAAGCTGCCATTATCTGAGCTTAAAGCCGCTTTTTTGCAACTCATAGATACGTTTACACCCACAGAACTTCCCACACATGATTAAAAATAATTGATCATTTCTACAAAGATTACTATTGCCCCCTGGCAGTTCTACATTGCCAAAGCGAGAAAGGGTCGTCAAATGATTGCCAGTGAAGTTTGCCCAGTCATTCGTTTTTTGACCACCTAATTGACAACATTTAGAATGCAGTTTCGCCTTCCCTGCGAGCCAACCTGCCGTCATTTGCCATCACTTTGGCTTTTATCTGACATTCTGTCTGGCTTTTGTTTTGCCTGGCTCTGTCAAAACTATTAGTCATGTTGTTTTTACTCGAGCTTAGCTTTGTTTAAAGCACAGCTGCCGTGTCACTCGACTGACAGCCGCAGCAGCAGGATCCTGGCCAGCTTTCTCATCTTTGTCCTTTCGCTTTTTTGGCCGAGTGATAAGCCGGGGGACAAAAGACATGGAGTCCAGGAGTCAGGAGTCACCAGTCAGCAGTCAAAGCGGACAGTTCCAAGGGTCTCTGCCAGGCTCTGCCTGGCATTGTGCGTGCTAGCTTGTGTGCAAAATGTTATTTTCTGCTTGCTGAGTTTAAGCAAATTATACGTAATCCATATGAAAGTGCCACCTGCACTCCACTTGAACGTTCACAAGTGCATGAAAAAATCTTTCAGCTTCCAGAGCTAAGAAAATTGTCTAGACTCTGAATTATGTTCGTATTTGCTTGATTTGTAGAAATTTGTATCCAATATGATTTGACAATATTTTAAAAATATGAGTTTATCATCAAGTGCATATGAAATATTTTTTGAACATTCAATTTTATTTGAGCAGTTTAATGTTTGGTTTTTAGAAGATAAAGGACACTTAACTTGTTATATACAAATATATTTTTAAGTTTCCCCGATGTATTTTACTCATTTAAGTATGATTTGTTTTAAAAATTTTAAATTTTTGGCTATATTAAATCTATTTTTTATTTTCTTTCAAGTGTAACTGCTTTTTGGTTTGATGGACGAGAAAAACGAATGTGGCCACAAAATGTCCAATAGACAGGGACGACAATTTGCGAACATTTGCATCAAATATGTATGTAAAATCCTTTCCCCAAAAAGAGGTCCAAAGAAGGTAATATTCGACTTGGGCGAGTAGAAGGGGAAGGGAGACTAAGCTACACGTATGCATAAGTTAGTAGGGCGTGGCCACCGCCCCTTCCGGATCAAGCTGGCACTTGAAACTTTCGCCCGGCTTACACAATAAAAGTGCCAGCCAAGATGGGCCAGGATTTTGGTGGCAGGATGCTGCCGGTGCCCTTGCCGCCGCCGCCGCCATATTCTGCCACTTGCAGTTAATATTCATGCAGTTTTTTGAAAAATTATACAAAAGTTGGCGACATGTGTGTGGGCGGGGCGGGAAGTTCGTGTGTGTGTGTGTGTATGCTTAAAGGAGTCTTCGATGCCAAGCATCATAAATTATAAAGCAGCTTGAAGGAGCGACAAAAGCAACAACGAACCGCTGACATGTCCTGGATCCTGGCAGAAAGGAGAAGCACGTGTGTCGGTGTTGCCTGCCACTGACAGCCACAATGGAAAGTTATTAAAAATAAAAAGGCGGCAAAACTGAGGCGCTTGACTTTCTCCTTCCTCCTTCCTCCATCCACCATCCTTCCCGCAAAAGGAGAAATTTATGACACTCATGAAATATTCAGCATATACGTTGTGTCCTGATGGCCAGAGCCGAAAATCTGCCACGATAATGCGCCAAGATCGTCAGACAATGAAACGCATATCAAAAACACATTTGCTCGTTGGATGGAATGGAATGAATGCAAAAAATTGCAAGCGCCAGAATGGCAAATAAAATAAAAAGCCCAAGCTGAACTTAATTTGCCATTTAATGGCCTGCAGTCCTGCCCTCCCAGCTGACAAATTGAAAATGTAATTTAGCCAAAGTGCACCGCCGACATTGGCCAATGGCCAACAGAATGATGACGGCCAAGGGAGTGGGTATGTTTTTCCAGTTTCCCACAGTTTTCCGCCCATTTTGCTGACGCAGAACGTATGAAAAACTTTCGTTTTCTGCTACCTGGCATTTAAGGAGTGGCCTCTCACGAAGCCCGATCATCGTGTTGATGGGCCTCTGTAGCAGTTGGCAGCAAGGATAATTATGGTAATGCCGTGGAAATTATACTACATTGTTGCATATACGTGTGCACTATGCACACTCAATTTATGCGCCACTTCAGATGAGTTTATGCGTGGGGCGCCACAAAGTTGCATGCATTTCATGGCAATCCTCGAAAGTTTCTTCAGTTCGCTGCATTTGCTAATTAATGCACTGGCAAAGTCAGATTCTCTCCAACTTCTGAAAAGGGGTATGCCAATCAAACTTTTATTTGACAGATTTTTCCGGCTCGTAACGCAACTTTCGCAGGATTGCAAAGTGCAAAATGTTGTCTCATTTTCGGGAATCTTTATAGTTTGGGTACTTCCTCCTCGGCCATGCGTTCTAGCCAATTGGCTCTTACTATTCAAAATGGTTAACTGTCTTTATTCGTTTACATTGCCTTATTTTTTTTTCTTACACTTAGAGAAAAAATGTAAATCCATAACCAAGATTTTTATGTTTGAGCTCACAAACTGATATATTTTTCTTTTTAATAATTATCTATAAATAAGATACGTATTTGTTAAGCTTATTTGACTTAAATGGTGTTTAAACAATAAGCTAGATTGCTTATGCCAATTTCCACTTTTCAATTATATTTTGGCAAGTGCATTTTGAGAGAACTGCAGTTAAGTCAAGTGACTGCAACTTGCTTTTTGTTCTTCGTTCTTCGTTCTACGTTTCAATTTTTTCGTTTTGCGTTGGTTTTGCGCTGGCAAACTTTGGCCGGTTCATCTTCTTCATTTTTGCTGCTCGGCTGCTAAAAGTTGTTAAATACAAAAGTTTGCCACTTAATACCAGTTCGAGTAATGAAATACGAGTCAAGCTGTAAGCAGCGATCCCAGTTTCCCCCTTAACAATCCTTCCAGCAAATTGAAGTTGAAGCATGCGGTTGGGAAACTTCTTCCTGCCATTTGGCCAACATGCAACTGTTCCCGACTGTTTTTCCGTCCAGGCATCTAGGACAAAGCCATCTAACCATCTAGCCGCCCATTCGACCAACCAACCACCCCCTCAGGGGAACAAAAAACCCAACTCGATTGCATTTGGCAATTGTTTGTTTAGCTTTAACCGCTCGACGCTTTACACATGTTCTCGTCCCTCTGGGCAGGCGACCCAAGAATTTTGTGCAAAAGTTTAGTTTGATTTCTTTTCGACCACGTTCGCCTTGGCCAGGCTTAATGAGAAAAGTCATTGAGGGGCGTGGCACATGGACCACACCCATGTGCGGTTGTGTGTGCTCTTTCCCTTTCCCTTTCTTTTCCGTTGCACATTTGGCCAGGTCAAAGTCATTTATCAAAAGATGCCCGAAAAATAAATACTCGACTTAAGTTGCCTCTTATTTATCGTTCGCTGACTGTTTGTTGCCAACAGAAAATAATGTCAATTTTTCAACTACCCCTTGGATGGGGTTAAACTTTCAATTGCGATCATTTATAACGAGTGGTGCTTGGCCGGCGAAGGAATCAAAAT